CCACGCGTTAATCAACGTGTGACTGTGCCTGGACTTGGAGCTTTTAAATCGCTTACTTAAAACCGAAAGTCAAAATACGGATGTCCGCACAAGACATTAATGGTGTGGAGTAGAGCGAGCATTTTAAATAAATTCCTATTTAAGTAGATTGAACTAAACAGAAAGAATGTTCACTCTGTTCTGCTGGTTCCTCGCTGGTGGATCATATGATTACTTTGTCATAATCTATGACAAAAATGCTATTTATAAAACTATATTAATAATAGATAATACACATTGCTCTTTATTTTTAAAAAATACATTCATGAAAACAAGATAACAAAAAATCATAAAAAGATAAAGCCATGGCTGCTATAAAATGTTTGAAATGCATAGGACAGATGTTTAATGACGCAGCAACATATAATTGAAAGGCAATAATAATCTGTCATTACGTCACTGCATTATGATATTACGGCTCTAATACGGTGCAGCACAAAGCACTTATGTGCATCCCGAGCGGAGAATGATGTGCTTGAAGCCACATGAAGTTTACAGCGCATTGAGTCCGTATTGAAAAGTTCAAAGCACAAAGGAAATACATATTTATGAAACAGTGTATTATACATTATCTATCTATGCAATAGTTTATTGAGCCTTTTTCTTTTAAAGGTTTTAAATTTCAGTTACTGTGTGCGTGAAGAACAATTATAGTGCTCTGACTCTAGTGTTGTGATCTAACCGACAGCGTCTGACACCCGGTAGAAAGTAACACGATAAGTTACAGCAATAAAGTCCAGCAAGAAAAAGTTTCTTCATTCGAAAATATAGACCTTTAGACCTTTATCTTAAAGACCCAGTATAATAGGATTAACATTGAATCATCTTGAAGATCGTTTCATCATTGACTGTAACCGAATGCGACGTGCTGTTTGAATGCTGAATGGAGAATGACTGACAGGCGCAGAGAGGGAAAAGTTTGTGTTCTTGAATTTAATGACTTAAATATTAATTTCTATATCACATAATAGCTTCAGAACACTTATAATACAGTACACAAAAACTTTATGGTACTTTAGAAAGTTTTTGTGCCTTTGTGCCTTACATAGATAGTATATGCACAATATAGAATTTGAATCAGCCTCGTCAAAGATGGCAGTGTCAGAGCCGATACCGATCCTGAGTATCTAATCGGCGCACTTCTTTTCAACAGTCAAATTGAAATTGAAATTGCTTGAAACTCAACAGATACATCACATTTATTAGCCAGTAGAACGTGCAAAGTTTCAGAAACGGGCATGGTGCAAGGACTAAATAGAGCCACCTTTTGACAAAAGTGGGGTTGTTAGTTTTATCTACAGTTACAAAAATCGGTATATACATTGTACTCCTCAAGCCGGACAACTTTCTATTACATAGTCATTAGCTCGGACCAAGAGGAAGTCAGATATTTTGGTTTGAATATGGTGAGCCTCTCTCTGAGCCTACGTCCCTGTATGGCAAGCCCTTTTAACATTTAAAAGCTAAGTTTGCCTATCCGGAATTAACATTGTAGATATCAACAACGTCTTTCTGTCTAGTCGTAATTACATTTTGGATAGTTTGTATTATCATTTAAGATATCTGTAACATAATTTGACTAGTCGAAATGACAGAGTATGGCAAGCCGTTTTAACATTTAATCATGAAAGGGCCAAAGCCTTCGGCACCGCCACCCGGGTGCCTTTAGGTAACTAAAGGAACCGGGGTTGCGGTGCCACCGGCTTGGGCCCGCCATCGCTGCTCGCAGCTATATTTTTTCTTTACTATTATTATTATTATAATAATTATTATTTTACTACCTTTTGGGCACTTTTGGGGCCCTTAACGTGCTCGAAAACTCTTGAAACTTTGCACACGGGTCAGAACCCGCGGCCATCAGAGCCGGGCTGAAGCTGGTACCCGGGCGTGGTAGGGCGGCTCGTCAGCGCCCCCTGGAACGGGGTCCGAACACTTGGTCCATAACTCAAACACGCTTGTATGTAATAATATGAAACTCGGTACACATGTTGATCTCATCGTTTCATCTATACCTCACACTCTTACTTTTTACCCCAGCCCAACAGGAAGTCGGCTATTGAGGTTTGTTTGTAAAACGCTCGCAATGGAATGTCATATACTCCTCCTAGAGCTTTGATCCAAATTCGACGAAACTCGGTCAGCGTGAAGTCAAGACATTGAGGATGAAAGTTTGCGAGGGGATTTTTGATATCTCGAACGGTTTGTCCGTGGCGAGGAAACGAAATCATGGCGAGAAACGTGAAACAGGAAGTGTGTTATAACTTCAGCATACATTAACTGATCTTGATGAAACTTCAGCAGTGTGTTCGCTGTAAGAGGACGATCACATGGATGTGACTATTGTGAGTCAAAGTTATAGCGCCACCAACTGGCAGCAGGAAGTGTGTCACTTTCAAAATGCTTTGATATCACCCTTTTATTTTTACCCGATTTGCTTCAAACTTCATATGTATAATGTAAACATACGGCAGATGTAGACCTGTGAATGGATTCTTGATATCTTTGAAACTGTTGCCGTGGCGACGCATCAAACTTTACCCTTCTTTTAGGATGCTTTTTGGATGCTTTTGAGACCCTTAGCATGCTTCAAATTGCATGAAACTCGACAGACACATCACATTTATTAGCCAGTAGACATGTGCAAAGTTTCAGAAACGGGCGTGGTGAGGGCTCAGTAGCGCCACCTTTTGACAAAAGTGGGGTTGTTAGTTTTAACTAGAGTTACAAAAATTGGTATGTATATTGTACTCCTCGAGCCGGACAACTTTCTAATTGACACTTATTAGCTAGGACCCACAGAAAGTCAGATATTTTTGTTTGAATATGGCCACTCTGAGCCTACATGTCTGTGTGTCTCTGTGTCTTTGGCTGGCTGGCTGACTGGCTGGCTGTCTGTGTGTGTGTGTGTGTGTGTGCAGGGGGAGGGGGCTTAACCATTTCACTGCTGTGTGTATGACCTGCATAAAGAAAATACATTTCTCAAGCCTGGTATTTTTTAAATAAGTTTTTATTTTTATTTTTTATAAGTAAAGGCATATAACTAGTTTAATTGTAGTGAATTGACAATAGTTTTATATAATTAGTTTATTAATCAGATTAACTTGGTCAATAAACTTGGTCTGAAAATTTGGTCCATAAATCAAACACACTTGCATGTAATAATATGAAACTTGGTACACATATAGATCTCATCGTTTCATATATACTTCACACTCTTACTTTTTACCCCAGCCCAACAGGAAGTCGGCTATTTAGGGTTGTGTTTAAAACACATGCAATGGAATTTAAATTATTGCTCCTAGAGCACTGAACCAAATTCGACGAAACTCGATCAGCGTGAAGTCAAGACATTAAGGATGAAAAAGTGCCACGGGATTTTTGATACCTCGAACGGTTTGGCCGTGGCAAGGAAACAAAATTATGGCGAGAAACATGAAACAGGATGTGTGTTATAACTTCAGCATACATTAACTGATCTTGATGAAACTTCAGCAGTGTTTTCGCTGTAAGAGACCGATCACATGGATGTGACTATTGTGAGTCAAAGTTATAGCGCCACCAACTGGCAGCAGGAAGTGTGTCACTTTCAAAATGCTTTGAAATCACTCTCTTATTTTTAACCGATTTGCTTCAAACTTCATCTGTATAATGTAAATACACGGCAGATGTAGACCTGTGAATGAATTTTTGATATCTTTGATACTGTTGCCGTGGCAACGAAACAAACTTTAACATTCTTTTTTGATGCTTTTGGGACTCTTAGCATGCTTGAAATTGCTTGAAACTCAACAGATACATCACATTTATTAGCCAGTAGACATGTGCAACTATGGCAAAAGATTAAAGTAATGTGAAAAAAGTAAACACTAAAAGCCTCATATCTTCTAAAAATGTAATTATACATCATTTGTTTCTAAATTAAATTATACAAATATTATAACTTCCCCAATTTTTCCCTTTTTTCATTTAAGAATTATGTTTACATTCAAAAACAGCCAGAATTGTTGTAAAATTCAGAAAAAAAATAATAATCTGAGTCATACGTAGTGCTATACTGCCCTCTTGTGTTCAATATCAGGTAGGCCTATTGTGTATATTCCCACCGGTTAATCAACGTGTGACTCCGCTGGGACTTGGGAGCTTTTAAATCGCTTACTTAAAACCGAAAGTCAAAATACGGATGTCCGCACAAGACATTAATGGTGTGGAGTAGAGCGAGCATTTTAAATAAATTCCTATTAAGTAGGATTGAACTAAACAGAAAGAATGTTCACTCTGTTCTGCTGGTTCCTCGCTGGTGGATCATATGATTACTTTGTCATAATCTATGACAAAAATGCTATCATAAACTATATTAATAATAGATAATACACATTGCTCTTATTTTTAAAAAATACATTCATGAAAAACAAGATAACAAAAATCATAAAAAGATATAGCCATGGCTGCTATAAATGTTTGAAATGCATAGGACAGATGTTTAATGACGCAGCAACATATAATTGAAAGGCAATTAATAATCTGTCATTACGTCACTGCATTATGATATTACGGCTCTAATACGGTGCAGCACAAAGCACTTATGTGCATCCCGAGCGGAGAATGATGTGCTTGAAGCCACATGAAGTTACAGCGCATTGAGTCCGTATTGAAAAGTTCAAAGCACAAAGGAAATACATATTTATGAACAGTGTATTATACATTATATATCTATGCAATAGTTTATTGAGCCTTTTCTTTTAAAGGTTTTAAATTTCAGTTACTGTGTGCGTGAAGAACAATTATAGTGCTCTGACTCTAGTGTTGTGATCTAACCGACAGCGTCTGACACCCGGTAGAAAGTAACACGATTAAGTTACAGCAATAAAGTCCAGCAAGAAAAAGTTTCTTCATTCGAAAATATAGACCTTTAGACCTTTATCTTAAAGACCCAGTATAATAGGATTAACATTGAATCATCTTGAAGATCGTTTCATCATTGACTGTAACCGAATGCGACGTGCTGTTTGAATGCTGAATGGAGAATGACTGACAGGCGCAGAGAGGGAAAAGTTTGTGTTCTTGAATTTAATGACTTAAATATTAATTTCTATATCACATAATAGCTTCAGAACACTTATAATACAGTACACAAAAACTTTATGGTACTTTAGAAAGTTTTTGTGCCTTTGTGCCTTACATAGAATAGTATATGCACAATATAGAATTTGAATCAGCCTCGTCAAAGATGGCAGTGTCAGAGCCGATACCGATCCTGAGTATCTAATCGGCGCACTTCTTTTCAACAGTCAAATTGAAATTGAAATTGCTTGAAACTCAACAGATACATCACATTTATTAGCCAGTAGACGTGCAAAGTTTCAGAAACGGGCATGGTGCAAGGACTAAATAGCGCCACCTTTTGACAAAAGTGGGGTTGTTAGTTTTATCTACAGTTACAAAAATCGGTATATACATTTTACTCCTCAAGCCGGACATCTTTCTATTACATAGTCATTAGCTCGGACCAAGAGGAAGTCCGATATTTTGGTTTGAATATGGTGAGCCTCTCTCTGAGCCTATGTCCCTGTATAAAGCTAAGTTTGCCTATCCGGAATTAACATTGTAGATATCAACAACGTCTTTCTGTCTAGTCGTAATTACATTTTGGATAGTTTGTATTATCATTTAAGATATCTGTAACATAATTTTGACTAGTCGAAATGACAGAGTATGGCAAGCCGTTTTAACATTTAATCATGAAAGGGCCAAAGCCTTCGGCACCGCCACCCGGGTGCCTTTAGGTAACTAAAGGAACCGGGGTTGCGGTGCCACCGGCTTGGGCCCGCCATCGCTGCTCGCAGCTATATTTCAATTTTTTTTTTCACAAGAGGTCGCAAAAACACCCAATGTAAGATATTTTGAGCTGAACTAAAAGTATGCATGAAATTGTGTTATTTTGAAGGAATGTGTAAGGAATGAATGTGCTTAAATGACTACTATTTGTTATTTATTGATCAAATCTAGTCATTTTAGGATAAATACAATAAAAAAATTCATTAAAAAAAAATATACAGGAATTTATGACATTCAGTGTTGGGGAAGCTACTCTGAAACTGTAGTTTGAACAGCTACTCGTGACTTCAAGTAGTTAAGCTACAGTCAAGCCACCCTTCTGAAATAGGAGTTAGCAACACTACAAGTTACTATCAAAAAGTAGCTGGCTACATTAAAACTACTTAAGTATATTTTACAAGGACATTGTATATTAAAAAATAATGTTTAAAGTAAAATAGTTGGGGTTAAAACCACAATATAATACAATACAACTGTAATTTCAAAGGTTAGCGAGCGAGCTTCTGCCAAGCCACTGAAACATGTCCCCAACACTGAGTACATTAACACCGTGGACTACTTTTATGCTACTATTTTATTGCAATTTTTACATTACAGCTCCAAATTCTATGGAAAAGAATGATGCCTAACATGAACATTCGGGTCTTTGAAATGTTGTATTTATCTTTGTAAAATTGCTAAAGTATAATTGTGTAAGCAGTGCTTCAGCAAACCCGACAGAACACGTGGCGTACCCGAGTGTTTGCTTTGGCCATGATTAAAATGAGCAATGAGGACTATTACAAACTTTGTCCCAAAATCTTCTTTATAAGTCTGCCAGTTTTCAGTGCATTTTAACCATATTTTCTGCTGAATTCATTTTTTAGCTCATAACAAAACTAAACTTGGAGCCAGTCTTCTTCCTCATGCTGATTGGTACATGCATGCAATGGTATTGTCCCATTTTTCATATTGTAGTACCACCTAGTCTCAGACAAGTGCATCAATGCAACCACTTAAGAGTCTGTATAAACAAGCATTGAAAGTCATGGATAAAAAAACCTAATTACTGTAATATAGTTGAAAAACATAATCTCTTGACTTTTGAAAATTTCCTGTTTATGTCTAATGTTGGGTTAGTATACAAGATCATTCATGACTTAGCACTACAATCTCTCAAACAATATGTAAGAATAAGCAGACCAGGCTCAAGGTTAAGAGCTTCCTCTAGAGGAGACTGTTGTGTTAAAGGGCACCTATTATGCCCCTTTTTACAAGATGTAATATTGGTCTTGGGTGTCCCCAGAATGTATTTGTGAAGTTTCAGCTCAAAATACCCCATAGTTAATTTATTATAACTATTTGAAAATGTCATTTTGGGGCCTGCTTAAAAATGAGCTGTTTCGGATGTATACGACCTTAAATGCAAATGAGCTGCATATCCCCGCCCTGCCTTTGGATGAGGGCGTAACTTGATACCTATGGCAGTCGGTACTGAGAGAGTGAGAGAAACCGCTGTTTTGAATGTCATTCAGCGTACGTTTGAATCGGAATATATAAATAGTCTCTGATCAGACCCAGATGACGAACGGAAGAATAACCACAAATGAGAATGGACCAGTACGTCTCGGTATGGTTATTTGATACATTTATGTACTTATAGAGTTGTAATCGTGTCCCATTTGCAATTATGGATGTGGAACACACACACACACACACACACACACACACACACAGACACACACTAACGCTGGCGCAATATTTTGAAACTACATACACATTCTGTGATAAAGTTTGCTACGTACAAACAAAATTACATTTATGCGAGGGACCTGTTGCGTCATGTTTACTTGTCATACGGGTGCTTCTGTGGCAAATGTGAGAAGATGGCTAACTTACAGAACAAGAACATATATGGAGTTTTTAATACAATATCTATATATATATTTATAAACGTGTGGTTACACACTATACAAACAAGGTTTAAATGATATAGCCTACACAGACATCCTACGACAACAACTTTTTTTCGCATTTGTTGTTGAATTGGCTGACATTGACTGAAAAGACTATTTGCTCAAAAATCATAAAATACACTTACTGTTAACGTTACTCGAGGTGACGGTGGATCGCAAACAGTAGACGACGATCCACAGTTGAGGATTAACTTTTAAGCTACAACAACAGGATTACCGGCTGTCGTCGTTGAAACTGAGGTGAGGAACCTGTGTACAGATCACCGAGGGCGGGGTCTATGCCACAACCACACTGTCAATCAAACCCCTTGCTCAATTCTACATCACAAAGAGCTGAATCTCAGAACAGCTCGTTCTGACACAGTGCATATGATTTATTGAGATTGTAAAAAAAACACTGGGTGGATTTTTATCATTCTAGGGTGGTTTTGCTCACACACTGCCAACACACATTTATGTTCAAACACCATGTAAAAGTGAATTTTCCATAATAGGTGCCCTTTAAGTTAAAGCAAAACTGCTTTTCAGTAAAGGCAGCTGGCATGTGGGATTCTTAACCAGTGAGAATGCAGTACGTTAAACATTTTTAAAGGTAGTGTGAAAATATGATTGAAGGACAATCAGGTTTGAGCTATGAGACATTGAATGTGGTCAGTATGTGTACGGTAAACTTCTTGCAATAACGGTTTGTTTATTTTTGTATATGTTGGTTATTATGGTTTTATTGTAATATTTTGCACTCATAGTTTGATTCTGTGGTTTGAACAGTTCTGTTTGGCGGCGCAGACATGACACTGCAGCTTTAAAGTGTTGTTTTTGCGAAACTCTCACTTTAAGTGGCGTGTCTCCATTGGCGAAGTTGTTGATGATGGCCAGAGACTGCTGGAAGCGTGAACCCCCGATTCCTACATCCGCGATCAGCTGACTCACAGCTTTAATCACCTGGAGGAGAAGAAAACACACACATCGGTCTCTCAAACTCCCGTAATCCCCAAACCAGCCAGAGAGCCACCTCTATTGCATATCTACACTAATGCACTGCCCACTTATATAATGCACTGAACACATATCTACACTAATGCACACACATGCAAAAATAACGATAGTCCACTTTACACATTCTAAGTTCATGTCAACTTGCTCTCATTAGAGTATTAGTAGACTCTCTGCTTAATATCTGCTATCACTTTATTTCGATGTTTCTCAACAGACATTATACCGACTAAGGCCGGATTCACATATAGCGCCTAAAAATGCGTAGAAAACGCTGGGCGCGCCGCATTCTCCTTTTTCCAAAACGGTTGCGCTCTGGTTGGTTCTTGTCACGAGACCTATTGTTCCATTATGAGCGCGCATACCACGCGCCTACATTTGAAATAACGAACTTGAGCGCGCAAAAGACGCGATATGTGAACCGGCCCTAAGAGTAACTTTGCAACTACAAGTCAACTTATTCCCCGAACCCAAAACATACTGACAGTCTACTAATACTCCAGTGAGAGTTAGTTGACATGTAGTTGCAAACTTACTTCTGGTAACACTTTACTTGAAGGGGTGTGCAAAAGACTGACATGACGTGTATGGCAAGTGTCATTAAGTGTCATTCGCTCAATTATGTCATTTTTAATGCAAATATGACATTGTTTGAGATGTCTTTGTTACACTGTAAAATCTAACATTGTTCTTACTAAGAATTTTTTGTTAACTTTACTTAAAGTGCAATAATTTGTTGAACTTACTTCAAATTTCTTAGTAATCTGTACTGTTTGCATGTGTGCTTTCGTTACTCAGAAAAACCTTGTAAACATTACTTGACTGGTTTGAGTACCATTTTCAATTTGCATTCGCTCATTTTCCAGTCATCTTGAGTGTTATTGTCAATACACCTAAATATTTTTGGGAGAACATCAAAATTCTTTAGTCGACTTGTTGATTTCCCTTTCTCACCATTTTTGTGATTGATGTTCCCTTTGGTTGGGCACTTGGAACTTAATTTATATTATTGTTCTCTTCCAATTTTTTGCAGTGATGCAACTTGAAATCATAATTATTTGATTTCAAAGGAAGTGAAGTCATTTATATATATATATATATATACACATACTTAAATTAATTAATAAATTATATATAACATAAATATATTTCATGTATAATAATGATCTTTTAACATTTTATTGCTAACGCTTATGGCATAAATCTTTAATTGGGTTGATATAATCCCTCTATATTTGTGACAATATTTTGGTTGAGTCACACACAGACTTCAACATTCAGCATGCAAACCACAACAGTGGTAACATTTAAAAAAAAAAAAATCATTTAATTAATTAGACATTACAATTTTATTTGCTGTCTCTTTTCAGTATAACCCCAATAACGATAGCAAATAAAATTGTAATAAAGCCAAAAATAGTAAAATAAAGCAATTAATTTATTCATGCCGCAATGCACTCTGGGAGTACACTTCCTCGGTTCACAGATACTGGAAAGTAAAAGATCAAGTATAGTATAGAAATTATTTTAAGTTGCTGGAACTCTCTTGTAAGTGTACACTACTAGGCATGCACTTGTTAGTACTACATATTATTCCTATTTCACTTTACTCAGTTTTTTGAGTGCAATCGGTTTGCATGCTTTTTTCAAGTAAGGTGTACTAATTGGATTTTACAGTGTATGACACCTTGACATAAACCAATACATCATAACCTGTCAGTGTCTTTGTCATGACAACTTGACATTACTAAGAAAACGCAACCTGACATAAACATGACATAACAGATTAATTATCAAACTTAAGAAACCACTTACATTACATTAACATTGACATTGGCTCTCATGAGGCCATTATAACATTTTAATAACAAATACAATTTGTACCACTGTAGTTGAGGACACAGTTATGTTAACCCATGAAGGAAAAAGTGGTTTCTCACGTTTGATAATTAATCTGCCATGTCATGTTTATGACATATTTATGACAGGTTGTGTTGTCTTAGTAATGTCAAGTTGTCATAACAAAGACATCTAAGTCAGTGTCATATTCGCATTACAAATTTAATAATTGAGCGAATGACACTTAACGACAGTTGTCACAAACATGCAGGAAACCTCCTTCATATTCATAACATATGTCATGTCAGTCTTATGCACACCCCTTAAAAGTGGACAATGAAGATAAAGTGGACTGGAGATTACCTGCAGGTGTGAGCGCACGATGCACTTGCCCTTGGTGAATTCGAAGTTCTTCCTCATGAGGAAGTAGAGCAGCGCGGCGGCTTCGGTCTGTGTGGAGCTGGAGCGGTGACTGCAACACTTCAGGATCTCGTAACACAGGCTGCCACACAGATCCGCTTTCCCCTGGAAGAACGTGGACGGGAACTGAAGAGCGAGAGCACGTGAAGAAGAGGCCGAGATCAGCACAGGGATCCGCTAGTTCAGGTGTGTTTGAGTAATGTTTCTAAAGCACGTTTAGATAGGAAGATACGTGTCCAGTAGCAGGATTGAGCACCACGGGTTCAAACTAAAATGTTTGTGATGATCAGTACACAGTGGTCATGAAGCTGTAATTAGCATTATTTTTATTAAACGCATACGAGACCCGTGCTGGCAAAAGGAGTGGAAATGCACACAGGATAATTTCGAGCTACAAGCAAAACAAATGAAAAATTGCCATTTTGAGGTTTTCACAAAAATAAGTTTGTCTAATGGTCCCAATGCTCCGAATAACAATTAAACATCTGAAAGTATCTTTATTTGTGTGTTTTCTGTTTGTCCATGAAAAACAATCTGACTCATAGATGAAGCGTGTTCACAAAGACAACGGGCAAACCCGATATACACATAATTGGTGAGTATTCATGAAAACATTATTTGTTATGTCAATGTGAATGTTTGGTTGACTGTTGGGGAAAAACATCTGATGTGTAACATTATATTAGATCCGTGCTTTACAGTAGGTCTTGTGTGGGTTTCATTAATGTTAATCAAACAATTGTGCTATTATGGAAAACAAGTTTATATAGGTATTTAGGATTTTTTATTTTTTTTTAACCTTTATTTATCCAGATAAAATGTTTGAGAACCACTTCTCATTTACAAACATGACCTGGAAATATTTGGGTTTGACTTGGTGTATGCCAAATTTGATGGTATTACCAGGAATTTTAAGTTATGGTTGTTAGGTGATCTTGTTTTGAAATCTTCAGAAAACTTTAAAGGGTTAGTTCACCCAAAAATGAAAATTAAGTCACTAATTACTCACCCCCATGCTGTACCAACCCCGTAAGACCTTCGTTCGTCTTCGGAACACAAATGAAGATATTTTTGATTAAATTTGAGAGCTGTATAACTACCACATTGGCTCTTAAAGGACTGCCTCTTGACGGCCCAGAAAGTTAATGAAGAAAATGTTTAAATATCCCAAGTGACTACCGTGGCTCAACTATATGTTTATCAAGCGACGCGAATACTTTTTGTGCGAAAAAACAAACAAAAATAGCGAGTTTATTCGACTATTTCTTTTCTTCCTTGTAGGCCAGAACGAGACTTCCTTAGATTTCCACGACGCATGCGCGAGATTTGCGATCTGAAGTAGTGTAAGCTGGTGTGAGCAGATCGCAATTCTCGCACATGCGTCGTGGAAATCTAAGGAAGTCTCGTTCTGGCCTACAAGGAAGAAAAGAAATAGTCGAATAAACTCGTTATTTTTGTTTGTTTTTTCGCACAAAAAGTATTCGCGTCGCTTGATAAACATATAGTTGAGCCACGGTAGTCACTTGGGATATTTAAACATTTTCTTCATTGACTTTCTGGGCCGTCAAGAGGCAGTCCCTTAGGAGCCAATGTGGTAGTTATACAGCTCTCAAATTTAATCAAAAATATCTTCATTTGTGTTCCGAAGACGAACGAAGGTCTTACGGGGTTGGTACAGCATGGGGGTGAGTAATTAATGACTTAATTTTCATTTTTGGGTGAACTAACCCTTTAACTTGATTTCTCTCAAAATTTACTTTGATTCCAACAAATCATGCATCATGTAGAAGTTTTTTTTTTTTAATAGAGAATGGCAATTTTTGAAAATGTTCTCATTGCGACTCATTTTGCCAGCATCGGTCACATATAATTTGTTCTTATGACAACACTACAAATTTCAGATGTCTCTCTCTCTCTCTCTCTCCAGGACCAGGATTGGCTCTCATATGCCAGATGCCGGTCTCTGTCGCTCTGTAAAATCATTTTGTTTATGCCATTTCCGATGTGGCGGCTGAATGCAAGGAACATTTTGTATATGCATCTCCGCAAAAAGCTTCTAGGGAAAAACACTTTAAGCATCCTAGATAAACTTCCAAAGGCAAAGATGTTAGAAGTTGCATGATTCATGACTCATAAACATTAGTAGGTTTTGGTCCACTAAAAAGGAGTTTACACGCACCGGATGGCCAGAGGTGAACTCAATAATTATAAAATCAGGCAGAAAATGGGCAAATTCGGTTTATGCACTGTGAAAACAGGGCGTCACATGAAAAAAATTCAACATATAATACATAAAAAGTGTAAATCGACTTTACTTCAAAACTACAATCCTTCTTTTAATTCAGTTATAATTCAAGAGGTCACCGAGCGCTGTATTCATTTTCTACTGGCCACAAGTCTTCATGTGATATGAATTTGCAGATTGGAGTTCTCTAAAACTTAAACTTTGGATTGAGGCAAAATTCACATGAGCTTGTATAAATGTAAATATAATAATAATGATAAATTACATTTAAATTTAGAAATCACATTCTGTCGTTGCTCCCTTCAATTGTGTCCTAAACGGCTATTATATGGGCTACAGTTGCTTAACTTCAAGTGCTCTACCCTTCAGAGTGAGCAGGGCTTTACGAGTGTAATGCACACAATAATTCCTTGTATCTGCTAAATAATACCAGATTTGAAGATATATGTAGAAAAAGGGGTTGAACCTTCTGAATGAAGAGGCGCAGGGCGGTGAACACGTGTCTGAGGGTGCTGGTGGACTGGTTGATCTGGAAGAACAGCAGGTACGTGTCAAACACTTTTTTCATCAAGGAGTTTTGCCCTTCATCGTGCTGCAGCTGTTTCTGTAGAAGAAGTGGAGCAGGCGCACGTCATGTTGAGACATTTACTAGCATCTTTCATTTAAATCAAAATTAACATTGATGTTGGCACATGCAGCTTGACACAATCTTGAGTCATTATTTCATAAAAACGGTAAGCATTGAAGTCATTTTGTTTGGAAATATTATTGTTAGGAAAGTATTTGAAGTGCTTTTGTCCACCCAATCAGAGTCAGCACAGGAAAGCAGTTTGTGGTCGAGTGTAATATAAGAAAAAGATACAATGGAGAAAACATCTTTAGACAGTCAGCATTTTTTTTTTGTTCCGCTCACACAGAAAAAAACTGGTAACACACTAATAATCATTAGTTAAGCATGAGTAAACCATTAATTCATCATTCATAAAGCATTAATAGACATTAATAAGCAGTTCATAAATACAGCTATAAATGCTTTCTTCTTGATTTAAAAGCATATCTATAATTTGTTTAATAATTGTATTTTCATCCTTTATTAATGATCAATTTATCATTTCTAAATGAAGAATTGCATTTTTTATGAGCCAGTTATTTAAGAGTTGTCCGTGGTTCATACGATTACTTAGAGCGAGTAAGTAAATGATTAATAAACTATTTAAATGTACATTCATACATCTTATTATTCAGACATATAGTGATGTTTACTTAATGTGTTAATAAATGCTTTATTAACGTGTATTAATGCTGTAATTAAGGATTAATTTGGGTAGTTATAAAGCATTTAGTAGTGGTCAGTTAACTATTTTTGTGACCTAATCTAAAGTGAGGACTAGTCATGCCTTGTAAAGCATTTTTAAAGGCTGTTAAATATTTCTATGTTCTGTATCACTGCGTTGTGTTTGTTACATTTTACTGTTTAGAAGATTGACGAGTCTTTAAATCGCCTTTATAAATGCTTTACAAAACATGAATAGTCCTCACTTTAGATTAGGTCACAAAAATAGTTAACTGACCACTAATAAATGCTTTATAACTACCTGTATTTACTACATTTACTTACACTTTCCAAGTGGTCTTATAAATGACGACTGACAACTCTTCAACAACTGGTTTGCAAATAATGTTATACTTCATTTAGAAATTATTAATTGATCATTAACAAAGTATGAAAATACAATCATTAAACGCATTATAGATATGCTTATAAATCAAGAAAAAAGCATGTATAGCTATATTTATAAACTGCATATTAATGTCTATTAATGTTTTATAAATGATGTATTAACTGTTTACTCATGCTTAACTAATGATTAATAGCGTGCAGTTATTATAAAGTGTTAACAAAAAACTATTTGATATACATTATTCAAAAAAAAAAAATCTTGAACAATATGTTGGAAACATTTAGTACCTTCAATTTTAAGTATTTCTTATTTAAATGTTGCCTGGCACTTGGTCTTAAAATCAAATTGTAGAAAATGTACATTTTATTTAAAATGTAATAAAATTTCTTCTTCTACTTCTTTATTATCTTAGACATCTTCAATTGTCATTGATCCATTTGAAAATAATTGAATATTTTTTAATATAATTTCTTTCTGTGTTCCTCTTTGTGCACTCATATTGAAATTAGTATATTTTGACTATTTTTTGACTATTTTTTTTTTTTTTTTAATTTTTTAGTTTTTTTGTATTTTTGTTTTCTGAAAGAAAAATCAAAGCCAAGCGAGGTTTTGGCTTGTTTTCCATCTGAATACCATTATTTTTCTTACCCCATTCAGCACATAATCTTGCTTGTTTTAAGCAAAAACTCAATTAATTGTTGAATATTGTTGAAAATAAAGTTTTCATTTTCTTTAGTAAACAAGATATAGACCATTTCACAAGATGTAAACAACACTGGTCCAGAAGCACTTCCTGTTTCAGTTTGTAACTGTTTTCTTTATTTCACATGTAAAGAAAACACCTTAAAGATGTTTGTTTAACTTTTTGATTCAGTTTTATATGTTCTGTTGGTTGTATTTTATCCCAGCTTTTATGTAGTGTTAAAAAACTGAAACAGGAAGTGCTTCTGGACCAGTGTTGTTTACATCTTGTGAAATGGTCTATAATATCATGTCCTTTTACTAATCCAATAAATCCTTTTTGATTTAAGAATTTTTAGACAATTGGACTGGCAACAAGACAAAAATACTAAGTAAGACATTTTAAGAGTGTATTTTGGGATATATATCCATGTCATTAAAGGTTATGCCTGTACCTTGTGATGGCAAACGAACAGGTCCAGGACGTCCAGCACGGTCAGGGCTACTTCAGTAGAAAGGTTAGCCTCAATGTCTGTAGGGTTGACGTTTTCTCCGTCAGGAGCATTTCCATCTAAACACACATTACAGTTGCTTTAATTTCACAAACGTCACTTTAAAAACATCTCCAGATCATATGCATCGCCATACACTCTGAGCCACAGTATTATGTTCAATAAATATTCATAGCTCAATAAATGATCAATTCCATGATTCAAAGTAGACCATATTTATCTGAAACACACAGCCGAAGTCTCCAGTGGCAGTTGTACTGAGTGTGTGTACCTGTCTCCATCATATGCAGCAGTTTGGGGTTTGCGAGGGCGTTCTTCCCCCTGATGATGGGCATGGTCTGGGAGCGTGCGTGTCTGTGCCCATCTGGAGCGGACACAATCCTGCAGGGAACAACAGCATTCGGCGGTAAACACGGGAGGGACAGCAATAACACAATCTAGAATTGTCATGATAATAGCAGAAAAAATAAATAAATTCCCCATTTGCTCCCTCTATTTCTACACTTTCTTCTGTGTTTCTTTCAGTTTTTACAGACACAGAAAATTGTGCTTTAGTAAACTGTGCTGTGCAGTTGTAAAACATTTTAGCTATAAAAATTAAACACTAAATAGCCATTCCACTCTCTTTGCAACAACACAGTGATATCCCGTATATCGGGAGGTGAATGAGAGGACACAGACACACATGATTCCCACACTGAACACATCTGTGAAAAGACATGATGAACTGTGATATTTCTACAGGACAGAACCGCTTTATATGAAGTGTCTTTAAGTACTATGTACTAACATCATTATTCACTTATTTTCTCTATATAAAGCTGTATATATACAGTGGGGCCAAAAAGTATTTAGTCAGCCAGTGATTGTGCAAGTTCTCCTACTTAGAATGATGAGAGAGGTCTGTAATTTTCATCACAGGTACACTTTAACCATGAGAGACAAAATGAGGAAAAAAAAATACAGGAAATCACATTGTAGGATTTTTAAAGAATTTATTTGTAAATTATGGTGAAAAATAAGTGTTTGGTCAACCTTTGTTGGCAATGACAGAGGTCAAACGTTTCCTGTAAGTCTTCACCAGGTTTGCACACACTGTAGGTGGTATTTTGGCCCATTCCTCCATGCAGATCTCCTCTAGAGCAGTGATGTTTCGGAGCTGTCGCTGGGCAACCGAGGTCTGGAGACTGGCTAGGCCACACTGGCTAGGATCATTGTCATGCTGGAAGATCCAGCCACGTTTCATCTTCAAGGCTCTCACTGATATGGAAGGAGGTTTTGGCTTAAAATCTCACGATACATGGCCCTGTTCATTCTTCCCTCAACACGGATCAGTTTTCCAGTCCCCCTTTGCAGAAAAACAGCCCCAAAGCATGATGTTTCCTCCCCCATGCTTCACAGTAGGTGTGGTGTTCTTGGGACGCATCTCTGCATTCTTCTTCCTCCAAACATGACGAGTTTTTACCAAAAAGTTCTATTTTGGTTTCATCTGACCACATGATATTCTCCCAATCCTCTTCTGGATCATCCATATGCTCTCTGGCAAACTTCAGATGGGCCTGGACATGTACTGGCTTAAGCAGGGGGACACGCCTGGCACTGCAGGATTAGAGTCCCTCTCGGTGTAGTGTGTTGCTTACAGTATGGTAGCCTGTGTTACTTTGGTCCAGCTCTCTGCGGGTCATTCATCAGGTCCCTCCGTGTAGTTCTGGGATTTTTGCTAACCGTTCTCATGATCATTTTGACCCCACGGGCAGATCGTGGGAGATTATCAGTGGTCTTGTATGTCTTCCATTTTCTTACAATTGCTCCCACAGTTGATTTTTTCACACCAAGCTGCGTTCGTATTGTAGATTCACTCTTCCCAGCCTGGTGCAGGTCTACAGTTTTCTTCCTGGTGTCCTTCGACAGCTCTTTGGTCTTGGCCATGGTTGAGTTTGGAGTTGTTTGAGGCTGTGGACTGGTGTCTTTTATACAGATAACGGTTCAAACAGGTGCCAATAATACAGGGACAGAAGAGCTTCTTAAAGAAGTAGTTACAGGTCTGTGAGAGCCAGAAATCTTGCTGGTTTGTGGGTGACCAAATACTTCCACCATAATTTACAAATAAATTCTTTAAAAATCCTACAATGTGATTTCCTGGATTTTTTTTTTATTTTGTCTCTCATGGTTAAAGTGTACCTATGATGAAAATTACAGACCTCTCTCATTATTCCAAGTAGGAGAACTTGCACAATCACTGGCTGACTAAATACTTTTTGGCCCAACTGTATATATATATATATATATAATACCTTTATTCACAAATATAAAGTACACTCACAAATATATATATATATATATATATATATACTGTATATATATGAAGAGTTCAGATACAAAAGTGCCATTTGAAATTTTCTTCTAAAATTATCATTTTTATCAAGCTTGTATATTTAAGTTCAGTGATTTCAATTAAATGGCAATGAAGATTACCTATAAATTGTCATTTAAGTGAAATTACTGAACTTAAATACACAAGCTTGATAAAAATGGTCATTCTAGAACAAAATTTCAAATGGCAATTTGACTTTTGGCTTTTGCATCTGAACTCTTCATATATATATATATATATATATATATATATATATATAGCAAATCTCCACTGCCTGATTTGTTAATTTAGTCAGATAATGCAACTATATTATAATTGCCCAGCTCTTTATATAAAGTTGCATATATGTGTGTCTGAACTGCATGATTGCTTATCGTCATATTATCTCTGCTAACTGTGAATATAAGGCATAAATATATTAAGATATTATAAACACTAACTTCATGATTTTCTGTACAGCTGCTTTGAAACAATGTGTATTGTGAAAGGAGTTTGATTTGACTTGACTTACATGTTTAGTTATATTTAAAAACACCTGCATGTAATTACATCTACAATTGATACTGTAATTTTTACACTTAAATTACACTCTTGACCTCTACCCTATAACCAACCCTTAAACCTAACCACATCACGTAACCGGTCCCTAACCTTACCCGTATCCCACCTCAGAAGCAGCAACGGTCTTCTGCAATTCATTTTTTGACACTTTAGATAGTTAAAGACACCTAATATAAAGTGGGACCCACATGGACAAATGCTTTGTGAATGTCTGGCTACTGTATGTGTTAGCATGTTATAACCAGGATTAAAACCCTTTAGCTAAGAAATGCAGTTATTAGTTCTATGCATTGCACACATCATGTTAAGGAATTTTGGGGAGCTCAGTGTAGACCGTTAGGTGTTTACCATTGGGGTAGGAGCCCTGAAGACTGGTAGGACGCGTTAGACCCCTTCAGGGTGCCATTGTTCTGTGTGGCCTGAGCCAGCTTAACCGCGGCCGCTAGCTTCCTGCGCACACAACCAGCCAATCAGAGCAGGGTTAATGCCAACCTTCATCCCAAAACCACCCTGCTCACGCCATTATAGACAGAAAATCAAAGCCAAGCGTCCAGAGGAGTGTTTAAGAGCAGGAAAAGTCAAGCTTGTATTGTGAAATTAATGGCAAAAAGGTTTTTGATAGCAGTCTAGAGATTTCTGAATGACTATCTGTGTCTTACAGTGAGAACGTGTATTTATGTGTGGAAGCCAGACAGAGGAAAACATGGAAACAGAGTGTGATGAGGGAGACATGTAAGATTAAATATGATATAACAATGGAAATAGCCAGCAGGCCAACTGACCACAGACACAGATAAAATAGTGGGAATCAATTGCATTCATGAGAACAAGTTCAGACACTATAGGTTACTACTCATACATATACTACAGCAGGTATGATATAGTGATAAGCAATATTTTCTATGGTTTATTGAGTGCACATTTCAGACACCTGAGCAAAAATATTCCTCATATCAGAGCGGTGCAGCATTCACACAAAATGTGGTTACATCATATAGTAACTTATTGTTTGATGTAAGCGATTTAGTGATTTTAAAAATCATGATCACACTTTAGCACACTTATGGTTCAATTCTCACTATTAACTGAGAATTAATTTTTACTTTCACCTCAATAAACTCTGAATTACTGCTTATTAAAAGTTAGTATGGTCATTTTAAAATTCAGGTGTTGGATAGGATTAAGGATGTAGAACATAGCTGTCAACATTTGGTTTTCAAAATCTGGAGATTTGTGCGGGAACTGTTCAGTGCGACCCATGTTGCATTATATTGCAACCTTGCATTAACCCTCTGATGGTCTTCCTTTATGAGTCACGTCCTGAGCCCTAGGCCCGGAGGCCTAAAAATGAAACTTCTTCCATCCCAGTAAAACCAATGCAATTTATTTTTGTTCTATAATATTTATTCTTTATTCTTTTAAAATATTTTTTGAAGAAAATTAGCACCATCTGGTTACAGTATAGAGAAAAAGCGTAGAATCATGGTGTAACCACTAGACGGCATGTACAGCTCTCTATGGAGAGGCATCTGAATTCCCCAGCTGTTTATGAACACTTTTTTTTTTTTTGGTGGATGTGAATATATAATTGAAACAATCTCAAAAACTATTTCTTATTAAAAAAATGTAAAAAATAAAATAAAATAATTGTGAATTTTTGGCGGTCATTTTTGACCAAAGACCAAAATCGTGACTAATTTTTTTACAACCACTTAGCATGCTCGGATCATGAACTCAATTTTTTTTGTGTTCACATACCTAATGCCAGAAATGTCACCAAGTTTCGTAATATTACGATGAAGCTGTGATTTTTAAAAATTCAAAACAGATTTTTTGTAGTCTGAATTTACTGGTGTTTATGTGTATAAAAGTGTGTTTGTGTGTGTGTGAGTGGGTGTAATTTTTTTGCACTCTTGATATTGTAGAGTGTCACCCCTTTACTGCGGTATATTTCTTTTAAGAATCGTGGCCGATTTGTAGATTGTACAAACAAAAATTCGGAGAATTTTTTTTTTTTTTTGGTAAATTTCCCATTCATTTCCTATGGGTCGGTCATTTCTGACCGAAGACCACGAGTGTGACTATTTTTTTTACGACCACTTAGCATGCTCGGATCATGACCTCAATTTTGTTTTTGTATTCACATACCAAATGCCAAAAAAGTCACCAAGTATCACAACCTTCCGATGAAGCTGTGATTTTGTGATTTTTAATAATTCAAACCAGGAAATTATTTGGTGAGAAGTGACCGAGGACCATCAGAGGGTTAATAATGCATTGTTGTTGTGTGTTTGCTCGCTTTCGGGTTGAGCTTTCCGTGACTGCGCAACTGGGATACAGGTTGCCAGGTTGAGATGACAAACGGGTTGAAATTGTATATGGATTGTGTGAATATAATACATTTAATACAAGATCTGGCAACTGGTCAACATTAGACAAACATATTGGTCTGATTATTCATAAAGGAGTTTGGGCCATGCAAATTACAAACCGGTCCGGGAGATAGGGATAAAAAACGCAAGAAACCTGGGAAAAACGTGAGTGTGGACAGGTATGATGTAGAATACAGTCATGCAGAATAATGCATTAATATGTGCTGTATAAGTACTAAGCCAATATCCTAGTAATATGCATGCTAATGAGCAACTAGCCAAAAGTGAGGATTGGATCCTAAACTAAAGTGTTACCAACATATCCTATCATTCATCATAACCAAAATCAAAATCATAAAGTCACACAGCCTATTTTATGAAGGTAGAGTTATAAACAGTTTGTGCAAATGCTGTACAAAACAAGCAGCTGATCAAGAGTGCAGTAAAACCTGAAAAAAAAAAAACTTTCATGATTTTGAAAAGTTCAAAAAAAAAAATATGTAAGAAAATGAATCAGAAATATTAAGAGACTGCATTCTAATTGCAATGATTAGTTTTTGACTGATCATGTTATGCTAGGATCAGGTTACAAAAGTGATATTCGTTATTTTTTCCAATTTTTCCAATGCAGTCATGCATTAAAATATGTTAAAATAAGTTAAAATATAAAACTTATAGAAGCAAACAACTTGGAAGCATAATAGAGAGTGACTTCTTTTGTTACTGAATATTATTTGAAAGAACAAAGGATCACAGTCCTCTCATATGTGCACATATATACACAACCATTGACAAAAAGAAGAGAGAAGAAAAGATGACTCCTACATTCCTGTAGATTCACCGCAGCACACGTAAAACACTTCTGATCGAGGAGAGATCTTACCTGGCAATGTGGCGCTTTCCAAGGAACCGGAAGTGTTGTAGACATAATCTGTTTAAAAGAGAAATACGTAAAACAGTGGAAACGTACAGTGACTTCTCTTCCATTTCTCTCTTGAAGTTCATCCATTTATTGGTCTTTATGAAAAGAGTCACTTACTCCAGGATATTGAAGAAATCACTGATCTCCTGGTGAATCGCTCGATGCCAGTATGAAACCATCACCTCTGCAACACAGAGAGCAAATCATCCTCAGAACATTATAAAATATGTCACAGGCATACTATACAGATGCTACTGAATGAGATTTGAATATGTGCAATAGACATCATCTTTCAAGGTTTGGTGTTTTAGGAGTCTCACCCTCTGAAATGGTCTTCATGATGTGCAGGAAACATATGAGCAAACTTCTGGTCTCTGCTTGATCCAGTTTGTCAAAGCGTGAACCAAATCCAATTAGAGACTGAGGCCTGGCAACCTGAAAACAGTAATCACAAACAATCACTCTATTGTTACAATAGACAAAGTCAAAGTTCACATGTACACTAGATGGGAAAGCTGATCTGCTTGCAATCCCATCATTCTCTACAGGGGACAGATGATTGGTTACTTCTGTATCAGCATCCAATGAGCTGCTCAACCTTCAAATATTTGGTTAGCACCGGCTGTAGGGCTCCAGCGCTGTGACACAGTTCTGGGTTACCCTGGGGCAAAAATGACCGGAAGTCCATGCCCATGGCGGGACTCGTGTTTTCAGCCAGCGCTGGAGGGGTCGCATGCGGAGCAGACCCAACCGAAGTACTGCTGAAGCTGAGGCCATAAGGCCTAGCAGCCTCTGAAAATTTTTGAGAGGGAAGATGACAGCTTTGCATGACTCTGCTGAGCGCTGAATCTGTAGCGCGAGGCTGTGACGTCAGCCGTGCTGTCATGGACCTAGACGGAGGGGTAAGGCTAAGGGGTAGGGCCAAGGAGTGAATTGGGATTGAGCCTAAGTCTGTCCCCAGAAAAGAGATTTTCTGGCTTGGAGATAGCAAATTCTTGATCCAGTTGACTTGGAAACCTAGATCTCGCAAATGGTCAAGCAGTAAGGCACTGTGTTTTATCAGTTCTGTTTCTGACTGGGCTAGAATAAGCCAGTCATCCAAATAGTCTAAGGCTGAATCCCAATTCACTCCTTGGTCCTACCCCTTAGCCCTACCCCTTGTTTTCGAGTGTAGCCCTTGGCCCTTAAAACAGAATGACAAGGGCCAATGGGTTGGAATATTACCTACGAAATGGAACGACCCTTCATGAACCCGATAGTCATAGCCAGCAGCCATATCACCCTGTAGCCCAAGACTGGTTGCCCATTAAAGCTAAGCAGGGCTGAGCCTGGTTAGTACCTGGATGGGAGACCTTCTGAGAAAGCCAGGTTGCTGCTGGTAGAGGTGTTAGTGTGGCCAGCAGGGGGTGCTCACCCTGTGGTCTGTGTGGGTCCTAACGCCCCAGCAAAGTGATGGGGACACTATGCTGTCAAAAAGAGCACCGTCCTTCGGATGAGACATTAAACCGAGGTCCTGACTCTCTGTGGTCATAAAAAATCCCAGGATGTCTTTCGAAAGAGCAGGGGTGTAACCCCAGCATCCTGGCCAAATTTGCCCAGTAGCCTCTGTCCATCATGGCCTCCTAATCATCCCCATATACACCAATTGGCTTCATCACTGTCTCCTCTCCACCAGTAAGCTGGTGTGTGGTGAGCGTTCTGGCGCAATATGGCTGCCGTCGCATCATCCAGGTGGATGCTGCACATTGGTGGTGGTTGAGGAGATCCCCCCCCCTTCTATGTGAAGCGCTTTGAGTGTCCAGAAAAGCGCTATATAAATGTAACGAATTATTATTATTATTATTATTGTTATAGTCGTCGGCGATGGCTCTGCCGTTACAGAGTTTGCACAGGATTTCTCCATGACAACAACTGAAAATCAGCTGCTCTTAACTTTGAATAAAGATGATGATTATAACATCCCTTCCTCGAAATGTATGTCTTTTCTGATCGGAAAGGAAATTTATTATACCATTTGTTAATTTAAACGACTATAGTGTTATTATAAGAGTAAATAAAGTGCGTGGTGGAATCATCTGGCGCTAAATTTAAATGTTTAACCGTTTGCGATCCATCTCGCCGGTTATTTGCGTTGCATTCCGTGAACTTTTTTCTTAGCCCTCCGTTTGGAGTGTGCCTCTGAAAATTCTCTGTTTCGAGGGCTATTTAGCCCTACCCCTTCGCCCTACCCCTCGATCTCAAGAAGAATCGGGACACCCTACCCCTAGACGTGAACGCGCAAAACGGAGGGGTAAGGCTAAGGGGTAGGGCCAAGGAGTGAATTGGGATTGTCCCAGAAAAGAGATTTTCTGGCTTGGAGATAGCAAATTCTTGATCCAGTTGACTTGGAAACCTAGATCTCGCAAATGGTCAAGCAGTAAGGCCCTGTGTTTTATCAGTTCTGTTTCTGACTGGGCTAGAATAAGCCAGTCATCCAAATAGTTCAGTATGGGCATCCCCTGAAGTCTCAGGGGAGCGAGCACCGTGTCCATCACCGCGTCCATTGTGAAAGTAGGGGGTGCTAAAGACAGGCCGGACAGCAGGACGATGTACTGATAAGTCTGATACTCGAAGGCGGATCACAAAAAAGGCCTGTGGCGAGGGGTTATTAGAATCTAAAAAAAGTAGCCCTCTTTCAGATCCAGTGAGATAAACCAGTCCCTCGGGCGAATTTGCGTGAGGATTTGTCTGGTCGTGAGTATTTTGAATGATCTCTTCATCAGTGCTTTGTTCAAGGGCCTGAGATCTAGGATGGATCTGAGACCGCCATCCTATTTGGATACTAGGAAATACCTGCTGTAGAAACCTGACTGGCTCTGTATCAGAGGGACAGTTTCTACAGCCCATTTTGTAGCAGTTTTGCTATTTCGCCGCAGAGCAGATGTGCTAGATCGTTCTGCAACGTAGTTTCAACCCTGGTTAAAACGAACTGCAGTGAATAACCTTGTGACGGTTGGCCAACCGCGGGCACTGTCGGGAGTCTGCAGGATGACAGCGCTGTGGGACTGGCTGCTGAGGAGGCGGTGGTGCTGAGCTCTGCGCAGGCGGCTACTGTTTTGAGCAACCTGTCGCGGAACTAGAGCACCTGGGTATGAAATGTCGCATGGCCTGCAATGTTTTCTGGACCGCGGAGAAATGCTTGGTGAAGCCCTTCACCGCGGGGCCGGTGAGGCCGGCAGGAGACACAAGCGCATCAAGAAAAGTGGTTCTTTCAGACTCTTTCATGTCGAACAGTGTTAACCACAAATGTCTCTCGGTCACGGTGAGGGACGCCATGTTACGACCAATGGCCTGCACAGCGGACTTGGTGGCTCGCAGAGCTAAGTCCGTCGCATTCCTCAGATCCCTGAACCTTTCTGGATTTGGGCCCACCTCGTCCAACGTGCGGAGAAGGTTGGCCTGATAAATTTGCAGAACAGCCACGGAATGCAGCGCTGACGCGGCTTGACCGGACCAAATAAGCGCGACCAATCAAAGCCGAAGTGGTCCTGCATGGCTTTGAAGGCAACACCAGCTTCGATTGCCATCCAGCAGATGGGGGGTACCGCTTCCTCGACTTGAGGAATAGCAAGGTAGCCTTTGTCCTTCGCGCCGTCCACAACGGAGAGCGTCGAAAAGAAGAAGAGCAGAAAACGGCGCTTTCCAGCTCTTTGCTAGCTCCTCGTGGAGTTCCAGCAGGAAATGGGCAGGCCTAGTGAACTGCGACAAACGGCGTCCAGGCAGAAAGCAGCCATCCAGCCGACTGGGCGCGGGCTCCTCGGGTGATGACCATTCGAGGCAGAGGTCCTCCACGGCCTTGGTCATGAGGCGGAGAAGTTTGGAGTCCACACTCGACCTCACTTCGCTAGGAGTTAGCATGGAATGGGCGCCACCCGGTTTGGGGACCGACCATCCTTCACTGCCTAAAGGGGCAAGCGAGCAGCCATCATCCTCCGCAGATTCCAGAAGCACGGCAAGCGGAACAGGCTGACCGGCCATGATCGAGACAGGGGAAACAGTGAGCAATGCACATGGGGAAGGTGCCGGCGTTCATTCACTCACAATTCTAGCCTCAGGCATTCCTCTGTGAACGGTGCTTTTTACGGCACGGCTCAGCAGAGAGAAGCAGGGTCGCAGGATCCACGTGGAAGATGCGAGTCGAGCTCGCAAGGTCGACAAGTCCATCGAGTCACATTCCGGACAGCCGCCTACGGAAAGCGTGTGGTCTGCGTGGTTCTTCCCCTTGGTAAGAGCGGTACTTGATGAAGCGAGGCATTTGAAACAACACTGTGGCTCTTTTAGACAAGTTTACGAGAGGCAAGTATTGAAAGGATATAGGATATACTGTATACGTTTTTGGCTTCAGTATTCTTGAGAAAAAGAGATTTTACCGTAGCGTAAATAGCTTACGCAACACGAAAATACTCTCGTAAGAGAACCAAATGCAGTAGCAATAACAGCAGCACAATATCAACAACCAACAGTAAAAGCAATAACCAGTTGTAGCATAGCAGATATATTCCGCCAAGACCAAACATATCAACATTGTCGTACCCAATACCAGGTCAAACAATTTGAATTGTCTATATTCACACATTCAATGCAGACCTCCTATGCTAAATTAAGGCCACAATGCATTATGCCAGAACCAGCTGAGACCACAACTCAGACCTAAAGGACAAGGAATAGCAAGATCGTTGAGCCCATAACTCAGTGATCTGAACATGCAGCCCGTGCCGAAATAAAGAATAAAGAACTGAATGTCATATTTAGACACAATAAGCCATTCCTTTATCATTTTGAACTTTAGACTACATCATTTATTGGAAACATTATCTCCCTGTCAGAAGTCAAGTCTGCCAGGACTAGGAGTTATGAATACTAGAGCAATTCCTCAAAAAGGAAAAAAAAACCTCTTAACAATGTGGAACATACATGCCTATTAACAAATGTTGATGTAAGGATAATAGATAAGATTGTGCAGTATCTTAACAGACACATTTCTGGGGTTCTCAGAAGCAGAAGTCGTCATAGTTGAGCAAACTTCGATAGCGATGAACAGAAACAACCATAAATACAATTTTTACCTCCCCATTTGCCCTTATATGCAAAAGTAGAAAGCTACGGTAATAGTGTTTTATGACTTTCCAAAAGAGATTAATTATGTTGGTCAGAAGAGAGAAAGAGAATTTGAATCCGCTGCTGTTTTAGCACTCCCTTAGGTGCGAATACAGACCTTTTTGGGGGGTCTACGCCAGTGCTTCTGCACACTCACAGATACTAGTTTTGCATGTTTATGGCATTATAGCCTAATATAGATGAATCAATGACTCACCTTTTCACATCCATCCATCTTCTCACTGTTGCGGTCACTGTTGCTGGGGTTCGACTCAATGCTGATGAGAGAACCTCTGGAGTCTGCATTATTAGTTGTCGACACGGCCAGTGAAGAAAAGGCTGGGAAAGCAAAATGGGTACATATGAGAGAGGAAGTCTGAAAAATACCATAAAAGTAGTCCATGTGATATATTCCAAATATTCTGAAGGCATATGATAGCTTAGTGTGAGGAATAGACTAAAATCCTGGTCATGTTCCCTTCTCTTGCCTGCATATTCAAACTGACGCGCCATGTTCTTACACATGTGACACAGTGTTTGGCATCGGTGATACAACAACATACAGGGTGAAATTATACAACTTTGAGTCACTGTGAATAATACTAGAACCCTCATTTTTGGGTATGTCTACACTTTTAAGGCAGTAGTCTATGAAACACAGGTCTAACGCAGTCTAACAGCATCACTATACCTGTAATGGAGTTGAGTACTTCCTTGGAAAAGGATGCATCCATTGAGTTCCCGTGGCGTAAGACATGGGTCACCTGACCTGCTAAAGCTACACCCACATTAAGATCATCTCTGGAACCCTGTGAGAGAAATGTTAGTACAGAACAATCACCGCAGGTACATTATTGTGTGGAATGGGAGAGAAGAAACTGAAATTAAGTTTGGATTTTGGTTATGGATTTGTATGTGACAGAGTCAAAATTTTACTCAATAATTTGTAAAAAAATTTACTTAAATGTGAAAGAAAAAAGTATCCATTTTTTTGTATTAACAAAAAACTATTTACAAATTGAATGTAATATTTTTCTAAGTTTTAGGAATGGACTGATGAAATCTGTTTTTTTTTTTTTTTTACTATTTTTAAATAATTTAACTTTTTTAAACTTTGTAGCCTTACAAAGTAATATGCAAAGCACTCATATTGGAAACTATTACAGATATCTGATTAAAATAGCAATGAGAAAACAAAACAGCTGGCACTCTGTGACATTGACAGTGTGAATTGAATTGAAATTAAATTCATTATTGTAATCGATGAAGCAGCTGTGCTTTCAGACATAACAAAAGTGTTTTGGGACAATCCTTTGTTTTGTTGCGCTTCTTCACATACCGCAATGGGAAATGTTGCCCCCTTTTTTGCATTTTATTTGTTGTAAAATCGATTATATTAAATAATAAATAATAAGTATAAACTCAAAAAAGGTACAAAAGCTGTCACTGGGGCTGTACCTTTTCAAAAGGTAAACTTTTTCCATTTTAGGTGCTAACATGTACATTTTAGGTGCTAATATGCATTTAGGTGTTAATATGTACATTTTAGGTGCTATAATGTACATTTAGGTGCTAATATGTACATTTTAGGTGCTAATATGTACATCTTAGGTGCTAATATGAACATTTTAGGTGCTAATGTATACATTTTAGGTGCTAATATGTACATTGTAGGTGCTGTTATGTACATTTAGGTGTTCATATGTACATTTTAGGTGTTATTATTTACATTTTAGGAGCTAAAATGTACCATTAGGTACCAATATGCACCCTTTAGGTACAAAAGTGTACCTTTTGAAAAGGTACAGCCCCAGTGACAGCTTTTGGACCTTTTTTACCGAGAGTGTAGTATAGACATGAAGTACAATTAATTACTCAAGCACTTTACAGCCCAGTTTAAAATTCAGATCTTGTTCAACTGATATCAGTTTTTAATTAAAAAAAAACAACACTGCTTCCATATTAAGTTTTTCAATTATATTTCAATTGATGAATATCCTCAGCATGTGTACCTGGTCACTAGCCGTCAGGCAGATTGGAAAGAGATCTCGGAGGAAAAAGCGAGGCATGTTGTCAAGGATCAGACCATACAGAGGCAGGTACAGAGTGGCTATCCGTGCCTGTTTCTCCTACACACACACACAATACAGTTTAAAAACATTCACAGAAAGGTGCACAACAACTCTATATTTGAAGTGCTATCATTGTCTAAACCCACCTTTACGGCATAACGAGAGTCCAGAGAATGTTTGGCCATGAGGTTCTTCAGGCAGGACAGGGCGAGGTGTCTCAGGTCTTGCTCTTCTTGCAAAGCGAGTCCCAGCTCTCGCAACAACAATCCTGTGAGGAAATGTTTCCTGCAGAACTCTTCGGTCAAACTATACTCTGGAAAGCCCACTGAGAGGTGAGACGGAGAGAGAGAGAACACAACAGTGTTAATGATTGTCACCTTCTCAAAGTTCTGTCATCATTTACTCACCCTCACACACTGTAAAACCTAACAGTAATATTTACTCAATTAAATTGATTTCACTGCTCTCAAATAATACTGAAATTGAAGTGACTTGAATGACTGAAACAGAACTCAAACTGAATGAGTTATAGAACATTTCTAGATCCCAGAATGATAAATGAATAATAATTGTATAGTTAAGTTAATTAATCATCAATTATGTGATGATTGCTCATTAGTTATGAACACCTGCTGTTAACAACCAGAATCACTGAAGGAAAGAGAAACACAAGAAATACAAGGTTTAAGGTCACCATGGTGGAGATCAGCATTTGCTTTAGTTGGGCTCTTGACCCTTGATGTTTCAGTACAAGTTTTTCTTTGGCTGCTGTAATTGAGTGTTTATAAAAAACATGGCACAAAAGTCAAGGAAAAGTGATGACAATCATCACTTAATGACTTGATTCACTGATCTCATTTAGAGTCTAATCTCTGATTATATTATTAGTTGTATTCGAAAATAGATTCTACAACATAAGAACTTAGCAATGTTATGACTATCAGATAGTATGAAGGATTTTACAGAAAATATAATTCATTACCAAAACTAACACAGATATCAAGATTCAGCATATGAATCTCAACAATGGTGATCATTCAAAAACGATTCATACTTCAATGCATGCTGGGTACTACCATAATACAAACCTTATACATGGCTCCCATTCATATGTGAACGAAAGCCTAATTTAAATCTGTTTAGTCTGTAAAGCATCATGTCCCTTCAGGAAATTTGGACTAAACCGCTCGATTCATATGGATTAGTTTTACGATCTCTATATGAACTTTTTGAAGTGTCAAAGTGTTGAGTAGCTGTCTATGGAGGGACAGATTTCATTAAAATTATCTTCAAAATTGTGTTCAGAAGATGAATGAAACACACGAGAGTGAGGAAATGACGACAGAACTTTCATTTTGCCAAATATGTCATGATGACAAAATTTACATCTGTGAATTGAAGGCAAAGGTTTCTAACTAAAAGAGAAATGCCATTCCTAGTTAGTCACGTCAAGATATCGAGGTACTTTTAGCATCTTAAGGGTCAGATTTAGCAAACAGGGCAAATTAGCATAAGAGCACAATTACAATGCCGATGGGAGTGTCAAGTTCTGCGTGTGATCTACTGACGACGCACAAATTAAAGAACACCGACACCGCCAGATCATTCCCATAATAACCAGTGGTGGAATGTAACGAAGTACAAATACTTTGTTACTTTACTTAAGTACATTTTTCACGTATCTTTACTTTACTTAAGTAGAATAAATAGTGCATACTTTTTACTTTTACTTCGTTACATTTTGCAGCAATTATTATACTTTCTACTCTACTACATTTCTACAACTTCTGTTACATTTTCATTACATTTTCTGATCAGTTTTTCCCCTGCCAAACCGTAATCTGACCATCCGTTGGCTGCACGTTTGTCTCACCAGTGACATTTGGTTGCCATAGATATATCAACCCGGTTACACTAAAATGCGTCTCGCACACAGTGTTTATCGTACAATTTATACCCAAAAATTAGTTTTTACATGCATAGAAAACGCACCGTGTGTAATATACGTTTGGTTAGGATTATGGCAAGCCAAGAGGTTCAGAATTACACCATAAATTAATCGCGTTTAATGCCAAAAAATAGTTATTAACATATAGTAAGGATAAGCATGATGTGTATATTGCCTAATTGCAAGCTTGTTTCAGAAATGGTGACAACAATTTTTTTTCCATCATTATTGAACATCATTATAGGAGTATTAGGTTGAATGAGCTAGAATTAAATGTTTTATTAATGATTAGAAAATAGACATTAAGAGAATAAATTGTTATACAAGTACTTTTACTTTTAATACTTAAATTACATTTAAAATCAGGTACTTTTTACTTTTTACTTAAGTATGGTTGTCATTGTGTTACTTCTACTTTTACTAAAGTCAATATTTATCTGGTTATTTGTACGTTTACTTAAGTACTGAGATTCAGTACTTCCTCCACCACTGATAATAACCAATACAATCTACCAAGAGCAGCGCAAATTAATGTCTGGTTTAAGACATGCTTTTTTTGGGCGGTAAATAATGGCGCAAACACCAGTACAATGAAGAAAAAAAAAAATCTACTCTGTTTTTCTGAATTAACAAGTTAATTATCTCAGAATTACGAGATAATTTTTCATGGAAAAAAGTTTTTGCTCTGTTTTTCTGAATTAACGCGTTAATTTTTCATGAGAAAAAAAAGTTTTGCTCTGTTTTTTTGAATTAACGAGTTAATTTTTCATGGAATTTTTTTAATTCAGAAAAACAGAGCAAAAACTTTTTTTCTCATGAAAAATTAACCCATTAATTCAGAAAAACAGAGCAAATTTTTTTGTCATGAAAAATTAACTCGTTAATTCAGAAAAACAGAGCAAAACTTTTTTTTCTCATGAAAAATTAACTCGTTAATTCAGAAAAACAGAGCAAAAACTTTTTTCTATGACAAATTATCTTGTAATTCTGAGATAATTAACTTGTTAATTCAGAAAAACAGAGTAGATTTTTTTTCTTCAAGTGAATGCAGTACAATGACGAGTGAAACCCTTAGTAAATCACCTTGCGTGATTCATTTAAATACTCTCCTCATATAAATATTGGGTCTGAAAGGGAAACTCTTACAATTGCATCTGCAATAATATCTGCCGCAAAAATAACCCAGTCCACGCCTTTTCAGCGCTCATTTCACTGAGTGTCTTTAGTAAATTCTGACAATAGTTTTTTAAAGCCAAAAGAGGGTTAGCTCCCACAAGCTGTTAGTAAATCTGGCCCAAAAAGTGACACTTAACCATGCTTCAGTTTTTGACGCCTTTGGAGCGAGAATGGGTAGGGTTTTCTAAACAATCAGACTGGTTTAACTTTTTTATTACTGGTTTTTAGCATTTTTTACATTTATTTTATGTTTAATTAAATCAAGTTCAATAAAATGCATGTAATAGTTACCCTGAGCACTTTGGGTTTCCAGTGATTCCTTGTCTGATAGAGAGAGAAACGAGACAGAGAGTGTGTTAGGTGGGGTCTATAGTATGTTCATTAGAAATAAGATAATCATGAAGTCATGTGAATGAGACACGACGAGGAGGAGATGTTGGGGCTCTCTGACCTGTGATTCGTGCAGACGGGATGGGAAGACTCAGAGGGACACAGTGCTCATAGTTACACACTTCTCTTATGAACTCAAACTTCAGCTCAAACAGCGCCTGGAAAAATAACATTCGCACCCAAAAACATCCACACACACACAAAGCAGTTCTTTAGCAACAGAACAGTCAATGAATTAAACAGCCAGACAAAAACACACATAAATGATACATAAATAGATAAATAAAAGTTCTTCATAATGTTCTTTCTTTATGTGTCCTTGTAGCCTACAAATTCACAGATCGTTGTTCACCACACTTGTGTCTGCAGCTAGATGCACAACTTCTTCACAGGAGTTTGAATGGAAGTCAATGGAGCACAAAGTCTAGAGTTTGTCTAAAAGTTCGGGTACCTTGTTGTCACTGGCTGTGATCATGTTTATGTAGTTGCTGATCAGTTTAAAAGTGAAACCTCTGTCCATGAATGTGAAGCACCGCTGAGGAAGGGAAACACATATTTCAATTAAAACTGATTGCAGCGGCAATAGCTAATTAATTACAAGTTAATAAACCGTTATGAAAAGGTAGGCTCTCTACATGGACAAATAAGCTTCAAATGCATCAAGAGTAGACATCACACACACAATAAATGAACATAAATATCTAGTTTAAAATGAGTCCTGCATCTACAGTAACCGAATTATGTACTTTATTTGAATCTTTGCTCTCCTGACCTTCACAAAAGCCGCTATGGCCATATTAGCGCTGCGTGTCTCCTCTGCAAACTCTTTATTCTTCCAGAAGATGTGATCGGACATCGTCATGATCAGGGTATCCAATCGACTTTGGAAAGTTCCAGGAAATCGCTGCGGTCGAGGGAGCTGAGCAAAACACATTTTATTACACATTAAGTTTGACTGAGTAAAAGACACAGGAGCAGTTGTGAGTCCTCGGGAAATGTACTTTATGTCTTTTGACTTTGATCAATAGGCAAAAGTCGATAGGCAAACGTTTCAGAAAGAAAAATCAAATCTTTAATTTCTTCAGTTTTAGCATTTAGAATGATTTGCTGGTTTTATGGAGTAAATGTTAAAGGTAGATCACAACTGCTTTACACCAGAAATATATACTTTTCTTGATGCTGCAAGATAAGTGCCTTTCAAAATAGTAGTAGAATTCAATGTGTATATAGTAGAATAGTTGAATTAAAACTACTGAATTGTGACACAATAGCATTGTAATATTAAAAAAGAAGGAGGTGCTACGTGTTGCTTGTGATATTGTGGAAATATGTGTGCGTGTTCTTGTGAGGTTTATGAGGACAGAAATGGAGGGAAAAAAAAAAAAACTTGGGAGAACCCAGGCTCCGACTGAGCCTGGGTTCTCCCAAGGTCTTTTTGTCCACCATTGGGTCACCTGATGGAGTTTTAGAACACCATTAGGTCACTTGATGGAGTTTTAGGACACATTTAGGTCACTTGATGGAGTTTTAGGACACCTTTATGTCATTTGATGGAATTTTAGAACACCATTAGGTCACTTGATGGAGTTTTAGGACACCTTCATGTAACCTGATGGAGTTTTAGGACACCATTAGGTCACTTGATGGAGTTTTAAGACACCTTTAGGTCACCTGATGGAGTTTTAGGACACCATTGGGTCACTTGATGGAGTTTTAGAACACCATTGGGACACTTGATGGAGTTTTAGAACACCTTCATGTAACCTGATGGAGTTTTAGGACACCATTAGGTCACTTGATGGAGTTTTAGGACACCTTTAGGTCACCTGATGGAGTTTTAGGACACCATTGGGTCACCTGATGGAGTTTTAGAACACCTTTAGGTCACTTGATTGAGTTTTAGGACACCTTTAGGTCACCTGATGGAGTTTTAGGACACCATTGGGTCACCTGATGGAGTTTTAGAACACCTTTAGGTCACCTGATGGAGTTTTAGAACACCTTTATGTCACCTGATGGAGTTTTAGAACACCTTTAGGTCACTTGATGGAGCTTTAGGTCACTTGATGGAGATTTAGGACATCTTTAGGTCACTTGATGGAGTTTTAGAACACCATTGGGTCACCTGGTGGAGTTTTAGAACACCTTTATGTCACCTGATGGAGTTTTAGAACACCATTAGGTCACTTGATGGAGTTTTAGAACACCATTGGGTCACCTGATGGAGTTTTAGAACACCTTTATGTCACCTGATGGAGTTTTAGAACACCATTAGGTCACTTGATGGAGATTTAGGACACCATTAGGTCACTTGATGGAGTTTTAGGACATCTTTAGGTCACTTGATGGAGTTTTAGAACACCATTGGGTCACCTGATGGAGTTTTAGAACACCATTAGGTCACTTGATGGAGTTTTAGGACATCTTTAGGTCACTTGATGGAGTTTTAGAACACCATTGGGTCACCTGATGGAGTTTTAGAACACCATTAGGTCACTTGATGGAGTTTTAGGACACCATTAGGTCACTTGATGGAGCTTTAGGTCACTTGATGGAGTTTTAGGACACCTTTAGGTCACTTGATGGAGTTTTAGAACACCATTGGGTCACCTGATGGAGTTTTAGAACACCTTTATGTCACCTGATGGAGTTTTAGAACACCATTGGGTCACCTGATGGAGTTTTAGAAAATCTTTATGTCACCTGATGGAGTTTTAGGACACCTTTAGGTCACTTGATGGAGTTTTAGAACACCATTGGGTCACCTGATGGAGTTTTAGAACACCTTTATGACACCTGAAGGAGTTTTAGAACACCTTTATGTCACCTGATGGAGTTTTAGAACACCTTTAGGTCACCTGATGGAGCTTTAGGTCACTTGATGGAGTTTTAGGACATCTTTAGGTCACTTGATGGAGTTTTAGAACACCATTGGGTCACCTGATGGAGTTTTAGAACACCTTTATGTCACCTGATGGAGTTTTAGAACACCATTAGGTCACTTGATGGAGTTTTAGGACACCTTTAGGTCACCTGATGGAGTTTTAGGACACCATTGGGTCACCTGATGGAGTTTTAGAACACCTTTAGGTCACTTGATGGAGTTTAACAGTTTCTTGGCACTGTTGCCTTTGGCTTGCTCAGTTGGGGGATATTCAAATTAATTAACCAATCAGTAATACCCCTGATTAGCTCTACCAAACGTGGATGGTTTTCCATTAAGAAACGAACCATTGTTATTATATTTTGATTAGGGCTGTCAAATGATTAATCGCGATTAATCGCATCCAAAATAAAAGTTTGTGTTTACATAATATATGTGTGTGTGTAGTGTGTATAACTATTTTATATATATGTAAATACACACACATGCTTGTATATTTAAGAAAAAATATTATTTATATATAAAATATTTACATTTATATATAATTAAAATTATATATAAATCTATATAGAGTATATACATGAAAATATTTCTTAAATATATACAAGCATGTGTGTGTGTTTAAATATATAAAATAGTTTAGGGCTGCAACAACTAATCGATAAAATCGATTATAATCGATTATGAAAATCGCTGTCAACGAATGTAATTATCGATTAGTTGGTCTGATTACGTCACGGGGATTGTTTATTGATTATTGATCGCTTCTTACATTCGCGCTTCATGAGGCGCACACGCAGTCTCTCTACCTCGCCGCTCTACCCTGTCTCGCGCGCGCAACACGGACGGTTTGGAGCACATTATCTTCTGTCTCGCATGCGCGCTCTTGATTCCGTGAGTTTGAACTAATTTGCGGGCATCAGGAAACCGCTATCAATATGCAGCATACACGAAAATCATTCACCTGTCGGTAAATTCGCCGTTTTGAAACCAAAATAGGTGACCTACGTTAATCGTGTATACTTTATGAAGCCATACTATAGTATAATGTGAGATAGAAATGTATATTTATGTCATTAAATTCAAGTTAACCTAAGCTTTTCCCTCCACTGCGGCTGTCAGTCATTCTCTATTCGCGTCGCGTTACAACAGTTAACATGATGATCTCTTTCCAAGATGATTCAATGTTATTACCTATAATTGATCCGTAGATAAAGGTCTATGATGGTTTTTCTATCTTGCTAGACTTTTATTGCTGTAACGTAATCACTTTCTACTGATTGTCTGTTAGATCACAACACTATAGTAGAGTCGGCGCAGTATAATTGTTCTTCACGTGCACAGTAGCCTAACTGAAATTTAAAACTGTTAAGAGAAAAGGCTTAATAAACTATTGCATAGATACTGTATAATACACAGTCAATATGTCTTTCTCTTTCCTTGGTGCTTTTAACTTTAATGCGGCGGACACTGAAGAGCTGCGCGCCGCCCTGTGACTCCGTGTTGCTTCAAGCGCATCATTCAGCGCTCGCGATGCGCATAAGCACTTTACAGCTCTTTAATGATCACGTCATAATACTTTTGCGCAATGAAAGCTTATTAATAGCCTTTCTTGTTCTGTCCTATCTATTATATTTTGCTTCCTTACTAAACAGCTGTGCTTTACATTTAAAACAGTTGTGCATCTGATTTTTACAATGTTTTTCATGAATGTATAACAACAATACAAAGAGCAATGTGTAAGTTTTACCAGAGTTAGTGTTAGTGCTACACTTATTGTCTCTTATTTGTTCCCCACTAAGGAATGTTTTTTTCACTAAATGTTCAGATTTTATAAAATTATTGTGCACTTGTGATATTTCTAGGCTAAGTTTTGCTCAGTTATCCACTAATCTAGTTTACAATAGCATTTTTGTCATAGGTTATGGTCATATATATTTTTTTTATTTGTTGTTTTTCTTTATAATGAAGTTGTCTGTATTAAGTAGATTGTTTAACACACAAAAGTGTGTTTTTTAGGGTTTTATTTTGTTATAATAAACAAAAAAATGGAATATAATTTTTTTTATCCGATTAATCGATTAATCGAAAAAATAATCGTCCGATTAATCGATTATCAAAATAATCGTTAGTTGCAGCCCTAAAATAGTTATACACACTACACACACACATATATTATGTAAACACTAACTTTTATTTTGGATGCGATTAATCGCAATTAATCGTTTGACAGCCCTAGTTTTGATTGATCCTGTGAAGCTGCTTTGATGCAATCTATATTGTGAAAAGCGCTATATATATATTCTTGACTTGACTTGACAAATGTGTATAATGACATAGGCATAACAACGTACACATAGGTCATGAGGTCTATCCTGTGTAATAATAATATGTGTGTGAGGTGTGCATGTGTGTGTGAACCAATTCATTAATTAAGTGTCATTTCTTTATTATCTCTTCTATTTCCTAAATGTCATTTCCTTTCTATAACTGAACACCACAAAGTCAAATAAAAAAAAACAAAGACTCTTGTGATGATGATTTCATGAAGAACCTGTAATACCCACAGAATCTTACCATAGCATGAAAGTATAGGAAGTAAGAAAGGAAATATATGTTAACTTAAAGATGTCTACATTGTTACGATATATTGTTTTCAGGTCACGGATGAATCTGACGATTTAATGTTTACACACATTTACCTGTGATCACTATATCAGAGCAGATCTGACTAGCCACACAAAGAGTTACTTATAGTGAGAAGAAAGCCTAAAATTTCAAATCAAACCAAGAGTGTTGAGTATAAATCATTATTTTAGGCTTACCGTAGACTACCATCAAAATGAGAAGATGAAATAAAAAGAGTAGTTTGTGTCTACTGCCTAATATTCACCTTCAGCTTAGCTGAGTCCAGCAGATGCTGAGCCATCGACTTCACTATGATCTCCAGAAAGAACCACGAGAACTGCAGATATCAAAGGACAAGATTAGAAAAGGTCCATCTCTTCTTTAAAAGAGAAATGGTCATGTTAGCTCACCTTAAGGATATTTCGAACGACCGACTGTTCGTTGCTCTTCAGGTCAGAGGTCATTCCCTTGGCCAACTCTTCGTGAACAGTTCTGAAGCCACATGCCTCGGTCTTAAAGACAAACTGCGTAAACACACAAGACATTGTGAGGACATCATCAGTCTAATCAGCCAATCATCATTTTGAACATTTGATCAAAGCGGCTTTTCCACCGTTGGGCCAAACGGTTTTAGGAACGGCACCAGCTGTTTTCCACTTGAACCTAACAGAGTTTTATTATAACAACCTTCTCCAAATATTCAGTGTTGGTAATGGGAACGTAAAAAAATCCAGTTTTCTTGACATTAGAGGAACGTGTTTTAAAAGGGATGATGTTTCCATGACATTTCATGGTCAAACTGTTTTTTCTGTAATTGCTGACTTAAAGCATTATTGAAAACTGTTAAACTCAGCAGATCGTTTGTAACACCATTGTTGCATTTCAGATGCTGAACGTTGATGTGCGTGAGTGTATAAATACCACTGTCATTGTTAACTTTGTTTAAAACTTGTTTTGTGTTGTTTATACACTCACAGATATCAGCATATGAAACACAACAATGGTGAAATGCTTCACACCAGCTGCGACATACATAAATTATGCAGCTGAATTATTTATAATTGTCACTATTGTTTGAGGTTTGTATAAGTGTGTGTCAACATCTTATCTTTCACAACGTTTTGGACAACACAAATCACTTGATGTTTATCAAATTGGTTGACTTTATTACTTAATTCTCCAAAAATTGCCAATTTAAATTCTAATAAGCAAAAATACACAAAAGGCAATTGTGTAAACCACTTAAATGCAGTCATTTGCCCGTTATTATAGCCATGTTGATCTGCTTTAGCAGTGCAGAATTTTTTTCTGAAAACACATGCAATGTCTGAAAAAAAAGCAACTCAATAAGTGTCAGGTGTCAAGAGCCCAACTAAAGCAAACACTGAACAATCATTCATCAACATCTAAACCTCGGTTAGTTTTCAATAAGCACTTCTGTAGATGTCTGACTGAAATAAAGACAGTCTGGTTAGTAATAAGTGAAGCTGGTAATGCTGTTTGTGGAGGTGTTTAATCAGTTCTTGAGAGATTTAATGTCAGTTGTGTCATGAATGCCAGCTGTAGTGCCCGTGTGACCCTCTGGAGGGCACTCTCTTCCTGTGCTATGTTTCCCCATGGACTAATTATGTTTTATTATGTTCAGCTGTGTTTCATTACGGGTTATTGAGTTCCTTATTTAAACCTGAGTGTCCTTTGAGAAGTCTTGTTACCTTGTAAGTGTACATCTATGAGCATTATTCCCTGTTTGAGTATTCCTTGTTTCCCTGGACTCTTGGACTGTTTATGAACTTGTGCTGTCTGCCTCGACCTAAGCCTGTTATCACCACGAATTTCTGGATTGCCCCTTGTTTAACGGTTTCTACTTGTGTTTAAGTTGGAATAAAGTGCTGCACATGGATCCAATCGCCTCTGTCCATGAGTTACAAGTTGATTTCATCTAAGGCTGTGGGTGAAGAAAGTTGTAGTTTGTGTTTGTATGTGTCTTTCTTTCAGTGCTTGTTCACAGCAGGTGTTTGAATGATTGAAAGAAATTTTCAGGAACATCCTACAAACATTTAAACAACATTCAGGAAACTGGACATTTGTATGTTCGTGGAATGTTAACGCCTCCTAGTATATTTAATTATTAATCAAAATTAAGTTGAAAGAATGTTTGAGGAACATCACACCTTCTAAAACACGTTCCTCTAAAGTCAAGAAAACTGGACATTTTTTAAGTTACCAGAACCAACGCTGAATATTTGGAGAATGTTTTGTTAGCTGGGCTTCCGGATCGGCACGGAATGGAACGGTTAAGCAAAAGAGAAAGGTTTGGCCCAACGGTGGAAAACCGCTTTTTTCTCACAATTGTCAATTCTCGCAATTCTGACATTTTATCTTAGAATCGCGTGATATAAAGGGGTTATAGAGTTTGAATTGTGAGATAAAAACTAAAAGATAAAATCACAATTACGACTTTATTTCTCAGAATTGCATGTGTATCTATCGCATTTCTGACTTTATACCACACAATTGGGAGAAATTAAGTCAGAATTGCATAAAATAAAGTCGCAATTGCGTGTTATAAAGTCAGAATTGCGAGATATAAAATCGCAACTGCGTGTTATGAAGTTAGAATTGCGAGATATAAAATCGCAATTGCGTGTTATGAAGTCAGAATTGGCAGATATAAAATCGCAATTGCGTGTTATGAAGTCAGAATTGCGAGATATAAAATCGCAATTGCGTGTTATGAAGTCAGAATTGCGAGATATAAAATCGCAATTGCGTATTATGAACTTAGAATTGCGAGATATAAAATCGCAATTACGTGTTATGAAGTTAGAATTGCGAGATATAAAATCGCAACTGCATTTTATGAAGTTAGAATTGCGAGATATAAAATTGCAATTACGTGTTATGAAGTTAGAATTGCGAGATATAAAATCGCAATTACGTGTTATGAAGTTAGAATTGCGAGATATAAAATCGCAATTACGTGTTATGAAGTTAGAATTGCGAGATACAAAATCGCAACTGCGTGTTATGAAGTTAGAATTGCGAGATATAAAATTGCAATTGCGTGTTATGAAGTTACAATTGCGAGATATAAAATCGCAATTGCGTGTTATGAAGTCAGAATTGCGAGATATAAAATCGCAACTGCGTGTTATGAAGTCAGAATTGCGAGATATAAAATCGCTATTGCATGTTATGAAGTTAGAATTGCGAGATATAAAATCGCAACTGTGTGTTATGAAGTTAGAATTGCGAGATATAAAATCGCAATTGTGTGTTATGAAGTTAGAATTGCGGGATATAAAATCGCAATTGTGTGTTATGAAGTCAGAATTGCGAGATATAAAATTGCAATTGCGTGTTATGAAGTTACAATTGCGAGATATAAAATCTCGCAATTGTATAAAATAAAACAATTGCGAGATATAAAATCGCAATTGCGTGTTATGAAGTTAGAATTGCGAGATATTAAATCGCAATTGTGTGTTATAAAGTCAGAATTGCGAGTTTATTTCTTGCAATCGTGAGTTTATATCATGCAATTCTGACTTTAACTCTTGCAATTGTGAGATAAAAAGTTACAATTGTCTTTTAAAATGTTTTATTCTGTGGCGGAAAAACAAGCTTCCATAGGTTATAGTCTCATCAACAAGTCACAAAATGTGTGGTATAAGTCAGGGCAATGTTGAATCAGTTTTTCTGCCTGTAAAACTGTGGTTTTGGTCTGGAAAAAACCTTCACATCAGTTCTTAAAACCTGTTGTTGACTTTGCAAACCTCACCCATTATCTACACCTATGCTTGTCTTGATCTAGCTCTTGGAAGTAGCTGAGACATGATACATTGCGCAATATGTTTGTGACATACGTACCTTTATGTAAGAGTGCAAATAGTGGTCCATATTCTCCTCATGACACTTAGCTAAGATGTGGACCAGGACCCTGATGAATACGATGTAGCGTTACAGTGAGAATCCAGTCTGAAAGCTGTTCTAATATATTGTGTTCAGAAGAGTCAGTGATGGGTTTCTGTACCTGGTGGTGCTGGCGGTCACTTCATCACTGTCGTTTTGGGTAAGCACTTTGAAGAGCTGGTTGAAGAGAACAGGAAGGAAGCGAATAATCACATGAATCTTCTCCATACTCAGGAGGCCCTGAGAAGACAAAAAAAAAAAGAGTTGACAGAAACATATGGCCTGATTCCTCTTAAAATAGCAAGGGTTATTTTACTGACATTACTCGAACTTTCACATTAGTTACATATCATTTGAAACATTGGAAATTTTGTATTTTGATTTCACTTCAGAAAATCCTTAAAAGTCTGGATGACAACAGTTTACATTTTGCAAATAATACACATGCATAATGATGCCATTTGGCCTTCATTCATCAATTGTAAGTTAAAATATCAATATCAAAGGAAACAAGGTATCTGCTCATCAGAGGCTGATGTGAACGGCTCTGGTAGACGTCCTATGGCACATGATTAGTTGCAAGCTTGTTGCATTATTATAGTACACAGTATTCTGTAATGCAGATACACAGCATACAGCTTCCTACAGTGCATTTTGATGCTCATTCATAATATGAAAGCGTTGTAAATACATCAATTCTACACATCTCAATCAATAAGGTCTAATTATTAAACAATGTCCATCCTCAGGACAGAATGAAATAGCAAAACACAATATATGTGTATTTCTAAAGAGCCAGCAAACATGCAGCCACATGTCAGTCTCTGGATCATAAATTTATGTATTTAGGTGTAATCATGGTCAGTTCTTGACTAATGTTCAGACCCTGGTTAAAGGAGTAGATCACTTTAAACAAAAATTTTGCTGATAATTTACTCACCCCCATGTCATCCAAGATGTCCATGTCTTTCTTTCTTCAGTTGAAAGAAATTAAGGTTTTGACTTCAATGGGTCAAGGTTAAAAATACAGTTTCATTACAAACTGCAAACTGTTCAAAGGGCTTTAAACGATTCCAAATGATGAATAAAGGTCTTATCAAGTGAATCGATCGCTCATTTAATAAATAAATAACAAAGTTGAAGTTTTATAAGCTCAAATGCTCGCCTTATGTGATGCGTGTTCTTGACTCTCCTGTTCAAACTCGTTTATCAAAATGAACGAATCTTTTCCCGAGTCAACTCGTTCATTTCGTTCGTTGAATGAACCAAATGACGTGATAAAAGATTTGTTCATTTTGATGAACGAGTTTGAACAGGAGAGTCACGAAGGCGAGCATTTGAACTTATAAAACTTAAACTTTGTTTGTTTGTTTTTTGAATGAGCGATCGTTTCGCTTGATAAGACTCTTATTCATCGTCTGGAATCGTTTAAAGCCCTTTGAACAGTTTGCACTGAAACTGTCTTTTGGACCTTGAACCGTTTGATCCCCAATGAAGTCCATTAAATGGAGAAAAATCCTGGAATGTTTTCATCAAAAACCTTCATTTCTTTTCGACTGAAGAAAGAAGGACATGGACATCTTGGATGACATGGGGGTGAGTAAAACTCCTTTAAGGCCCTGGAATACACTTACTTTAAGGCAGTTGAGGAAGTTTGAGGTAGGAGGTTGAGAGAGGTCTGCCTCTCGTTTCTGGCACTGCTGGAAGAAGCGGTTTAGATGGGGGTCCTGCAAAAATGTCCGTGGGAAATATTAGACCACAAACATATCAACAAGATAGCAGTGGGTTTTCATCTGAGACTGTGGATCTTTTCAACCTGAGTATAAACTGTAGAGAGCACCACAGTGGACACTTTGAAGATCTGCTTCCCCCCATCGACCAACTTCACATCGGAGCCATTCTGCACACAAACACGTATATATCTGTAAAAATCCCTCACCATATCATGTGCGAATCATCATTATTTGTCTTTGGGACTATTCTTTGGGAAATATTTCGTTTCCTGGTTCACACAGCTACTGATTCTCATCATTTGCTTCTTAACCTTCATTGTCTCTGTGCGTCTTCTTCCTTTGTTCAATGGCAAGTGCTATTTTAAGAATGTTCATGAGTTGGATGTACTTTGTACAAGTTAGTTAGCATTAAGTTCTTGTTTGTCTTCACGGATTCGTGTATATTCTGGGTTCTGGTTTATGTGATGGATAAAACTATTTATACTACAGAACTGTTGAATGCTTGATTCTGATTGGTTGAGAATGTTCTAAGGTGTGCAATTATTTTCAGGGAAACGCACGGCTAAAGTAGTTTCCGCCAGGTTTGATTGCATCACAGTTCCATTTTCACTGCTCGTAGTTAACTGTAATAACGGAAAATATGATACAATTCATAACAAGAGAACACATGCAGCCCCATAAGCTGCGCTTTTCGATGTCTAACTTCACAATCAATGGGCATACAGTTTAATTTTAATAAATAAAGTATGTAGTCCTGTCTATAATCGGCTAAATAGAAAATTAAACTGAAAAGGCTATATAAATAAATTGATTTTCGTAATTATTCCAGATAATATAACAAATAAATAATTATTGATAGGCGTACTTGTTAAAAGGGCTTTGTGTGTTTCATTTATTTCATTTAAAACATGAATGAATAAATTAATTCAAACAAATTTTGGTAGCACTTTATTTGAAGGAGTGTGATAAGACTGACATGACACTGTCATAAACATGACATAACACCTGTCATGAACATGAAGGAGTCTTTATGAATGTTTATGACTGTTGTCATTAAGTGTCATTCTGTAAATTATGACACTTTTAATGCAAAGTTGACATTGTTAAAAATGTCTTTGTTATAACAACTTGACATTAACAAAGACAAAAATATCTTGATTATGACAACTTGACATTAACAAAAACAGAAATGTCTTGATTATGACAACTTGACATTAACCAAGAAATCATAACTAGTCCAACGTGTTCCACTTTACTTGAGGTAAAGGGACTTATTAATGACACTGTTGTTAAAGCATTTGACAGTGTAATAACCCTTAATGACATCTTTATAACTAGTACAATGTGTTCCACTTTACTTGAGGACAAGTAAAATATTCATGTCACAGTTAATGGTGTCATGACAACACTTTTAACTTTTAAAAAGTTAAAACCAACCATAACATACGACAGGGTAATGTTAACACAAAGCTAAATAACTTCTTTAAGTTTGATAATTAGACCTGTTATGACATATTTGTGACAGGTTGACAGGTTATGATTTCTTGGTTAATGTCAAGTTGTCATAACAAAGACATTTTAAACTGTCAACTTTGCATTAAAAGTGTCATAATTTACCGAATGACACTTAATGACAACAGTCATAAACATTCATAAAGACTCCTTCATGTTCATAACAGGTGTTATGTCATGTTTATGACAGTGTCATGTCAGTCTTATGTACACCCCTTCAAATAAAGTGTTACCCAAATTTAATAAATAAATAAATAAATAATAAGCACATGCTTTTCTGTCTCATTATTTCAACATCTTCCTCTCTCTAATAACTGCATTAATAACTGCATAAAGCCAGGAACACTTAGGCCTACCAAGGCCAATTATGAATGTAATATGATACTTATGACTGATCATGTCTTAATCTTGTGTTCAGTGGCTCAAACCTCCGTTACTACCTCTAAAATGACGTTTTGGAATTAGCAACGGAGGCATGGGATTAGACGCGTAAAGGCCAATTTATACTTCTGCGTCGAGGGTACGCCGTAGTGCACGGCGTTGTGAGCATTTATACTTCTGCGTTCAGGTCTTGGTTGCTCTGCAGTACTGCTCCGAAACGCTAGTTGGCGGCGGAGGGTTTTAATGTTCCACTGTGTTTAGATTCCTCACGGCTAGGTTACTACAAGCAATATCGACTGAAAGAGAGTGGATCATGTTGGAGTTGGAGCTTATTGAGGTGGAAAAACAGTTCACTTTAGTGAAATTACTAAAACTGAAAGGCAGAAATGACAGAAGACGTCGGAGGAGATGGTACGTGTGGAAATCATAGACAGTGGTGGAAATGCGTGAGAAGGTACGTGCGGAAATGCGTAGGAGGAAATGCGATGCTACCAAGCCGACCAATCACCGATCTTGCGGTCCGCGTCGCCGCGACGTGTAGTTACATTTTTGAAGAGGTGCGCGTCAGGCGACGGCGAAGGGTACGCGGTATGGGACGCGTCTGTGCGTATGCTACGCCGTCCCTACTGCGCGCACACTACGCAGAAGTATAAATTGGCCTTAATGCTACGTTCACACCGGACGCGAATAGGGCGTCAGGCGCGAATGATTTCAATGTTAAGTCAATGCAAAGACGCTTTACGCGCGTGAAAAATTCCTGCGGCGCGAATGAGGCGTGGAGCGCGGCGCGGAAGATGCGAATACGCCTCATTCGCGCATCAAGTTGGCGCGAATTGAGCGTTGTGCATTCACGCGTTTGACGCGAATTCGCGTCTGCCGCCCGAGTTGAAAAATCTGAACTTTGGCGTGAATTCGCGCCGCGTTAACCAATCAGGAGCCTAGCTGCTTGCTCACGTTGTGAAGTGTCTGGATGCTTCAATAAATTATTTTGTATATGACTAATGCATGGTGGGATTATGCACAACAAAGCAAATGTTTCATCACTTAAAACATTATTTCTATATACGAGACATGTTCATTTTGTATTGAATGTTATTCATTCCATATCTAGAAATAGTATTATGTTGTAAAGACAATCAACATATGTGCATAAATTCGTGTCTGGACGTGAGAGAGAGAAAAAAAAATCACAGGACAGGTTAATAACTTTTGAAGGCTGGCTCTATTTATCATCAAAACAAAAATAAATGACAGCTAGATTAGGTGGATGAGGGCGAGGGTGATCCTCACTGCGATGCGGGACAACAGGTCATCAAACTGGGCGCGTGACAGGCGGAAGTACCGCTGACAGCGGCCGTCATCCAGCGCAGCTCCTGGAGCGAGGAAATGGTGAAACTCGCCAAACGGTTCGGCTCTGAAGGGTCCGGTGGACACAAATATACGGCGACGATGATCCCCACGCCGCTGTTCTGCTCTCCAGAGTAAATACAGAGCGGTAACTCTCTTGATGAATGCTCGGTCGACATAAAAACAATGGCCGCCAACGGATTTTGATTCTGACGCGCGTAAATTTCGCTTACGCGCGGCAGTTTCGCTCTTGACACGCGAATTAACACTAGTGGTCAAGCGTCAAACTAGACGCGTCAGGCGCGAATTTGACGCGCGATTCGCGCCCGGTGTGAACGTAGCATAAGAAATTAGTCCTACATACAAGAGTGTATTAATGACAAAAACTTGACCAACGTCTTGAAATGCATCATCTGAACAATGTTTTGAGGTGTGGTAACTGTAGTATAAGCAGAACAATTGACTTCAGGCCGTTGAATTATTAGAAAAATAATGCACACCCGAGGTGGTAATGCGGTCATGACGCAAAGCGCAGTTAATTATTTTTCTAATAATTCAACGGCCTGTCGTCAATTATTCCTCAAGTATCTTAGCAAAACCATAGACTTGTCTTCACTCAACATTTATCATAATCACACTTACATCTCTATTTCTCTATTTTCTTTTTCTTAACTGATTGTTTATTTGCGTTTCTGTATTCTTGTGCTCACTTTGGTGGATGAAGCATCTTTAATGAGTAGATATCCACCAGGCAAAGTGCAGGAGACTGGAATGCTGAAATCCTGAGAGGAAATACGGCCGTCCTTCAGCAGAGGCAACCACGCATAACCCACTGTAACATGAACAACACACAAACACACTGTCAGAGCATTTCAACAGGCACAGCATATGACAACTGGGCTTGATGTGCATCTTTGACCTGGAGTTTCAAGAGCCTCTTTCTTCTTAGAGCTGGTCTTGGCATTGATGTCACAGGTCACATGATAGAAGGAGAAGAGTAAATGGTGTTTCTCATGAAGATGTGTGGGCAGCTCAATCTTGACCTGATCAAACATATCACAGCACACGTTAAAGTACCATCTCAACGCAACAGTGCTGAACTACAAAGCTTCTGAAGCACATTTTGAAGATTTTGCAAACAACCTCGTCGTAAAAATCTGGGTTCTGTGAATGGTGCAGGACCGTGGAACAGGCAGCCGTGGTGAATACTGGACCTCCTGGCTTTCCGTAGATGCACTGTGGAAATTGATATACAACATTTTATGATCAGAAGTCAAATAAAGCAGGTGTTGATGGAAAATTATGGAAATATTGTGTTATGTAACCTTAAGAGGCTTGGCATTTTCTTCATCGGAGCTTCTGAACTCTACGTAAACTGCGATGTTCCGAGCCTAGCGAACAAAATGGAGAATAGCATGACTACACGAACAAAGAGTAGTAAACTGTGAAGAACACAACTGAATCCTTGATTACGCCGTAAGCGATTCCAGCGTTTTCAGTTGATCCTCAGGGGCATCACCCATTCACAAGTTAAAACTTAATTGTGGAGTAAAAGTAACTAAATATTTACAGAAGCCTCCAATCAGGAGTGTCGTTTACAATAAAATAGCACACAGATTAGATTAGATCAATGACCTCATGTTTTCCACAGACTTCGTCCACTAGTCAGTTATGATGCTGCTGACAGTTACACTCATTTACTTTTTTATTTAGAGAGGAATAGCTTAGCAATCTTACCAATCTAAACACAGCACTTTTCCTCCGAATATGCCTACACTGTAAAACATTATGTGATAAAGGAATATAAAAACATACAGTATGTTGTCATAGTTGTTGTCAAGTTATAAAATTTAAGTTGAAATGACTTAAACATCCAAGTTGATTGTACTTGTAAATTAAAAAAAAAATGTCAGTGCACTACTATAAACAGTAGTAGGCAAATAAAAATCACAGTGATCATAAAACAGTAGGTGAAAATTAGCTGAGTTTCTAATAAATTTTAATCTTAATTTTTTTAATTCAAAATGATATGAATGGACTTAAGGCTGAGATGACTCCATATTTAACCCTCAGGTGCTCTTCGTTTCGGAGTCACACTTGTTATCTTCCCGGTCAAAAGTGACCGGACACCTAAAAATGAAACTTTCTCCATCCCAGCAATTTTTTTTGGTTCTATAATATTTATTCTTTTTAATTTAGTATTTTGAGACAATTTAATTGAATTTATTTATATTAATGCAATATTTATTGTTTATTTTTGCCATGGAAATATATATTATACATATATATTATTTTTTTCAAAAAAATATTAATGCAGTGTTTTAGTTTAATATAGAGTCTAGGCCTTCAGAAAAAAATATTTTTTTGAAGAAAATTAGCACCATCTGGTTACAGTATAGAGAAAAAGCGTAGAATCATGGTGTAACCACCACTAGATGACATGTACAGCTCTCTATGGAGAGGCATGTGAATTTCCCAGCTGTTTATGAACACATTTTTTGTTGTTGTTGGTGGTGGATTTGAATATATAGTTGAAACAATCTCAAAAACTATTTCTTATAAAAAAAATTGACAAAAAAAAAAAAAAAAATTTCTACAATTTCCCATTCATTTCCTATGGGGGTCATTTTTGACCAAAGACCACAGGTGTGACTATTTTTTTAAGACCACTTAGCATGCTCAGATCATGACCTCAATTTTTTTGTGTGTTCACATAATGCCATAAAAGTCACCAAGTTTCGTAACATTGCGATGAAGCTGTGATTTTTAAAAATTCAAAACATACTTTTTGTAATCAAAATGTATTGGTGTGTAAGTGTATAAAAGTGTGTTTGTATGTGTGTGTGTGTGTGGGTGGGTGTGTCTGTTTTGCACTCTAGATGTTGTAGAGTGTCACCCCTTCAATGCTGAGCACTTTTTTTCTGCATCGTGGCCGATTTGTAGATTGTACACACAAAAATTCTCAAAGTTTTTGTGTTTTTGTCAATTTCCCATTCATTTCCTATATGGGTCGGTCATTTTTGACGGAAGAGCACAAGTGTGACTATTATTTTTACGACCACTTAGCCTGCTCGGATCATGACCTCAATTTTTTTTTTATTCACATACCAAATGCCATGAAAGTCACCAAGTTTCGTAACATTCCGATGAAGCTGTGATTTTTAAAATTTCAAAACAGAAAATTTTTCGGTCAGAAATGACCGAAGAGCACCAGAGGGTTAATATACACAGGTTTTGTGGTTTAGATAAGGTCCAGTTCTGGTTTATTTCTTTGCTCTTGGCTGACATTATCATTTTAGCATTGCTATGGCCCGCTTGTGGCCCAGATCTGGCAAACAGGACAGAGTGAGCCACTCAAGGGCCATCATTCCACGCTGCATGTGGGCCGGATCATCTTTCCACATGTGCCAGATGTGGGCCGGATGTGGGCCAGATGTGGGCTGTCAAAATGTTGCTATGTGAGAACCTAAACGATAGTGTTAACAAAAGCAAATGTGAGATAAAAACATTTGCTGAAGCAAACTTGCCATTTTAGCTTGCTTCCACATGTCTTTTAGCCTTTTATCACGACTCATGTTTTCAGGGACACCAACCCAAGAGCTCTACATCACAAGTGCAATGCTGTACCGGGCAAGTTTACTACCTCAAACAAAACATATGGTGCTGGCTATGTGATGCAATCTTCAAAATGTATTCATTTACCAACTACGCACTATGGTTAAGTGTTTTGTGTCCACTATTTTCTCACCTTTGCAAAACTCTTTTGGCTGTCATACTTGAGGTGTTTAGGGTAGATATAGATGTGATTCTTGTAGACTCTGTAAGGTTGGGCAAACTTGGATGAGTCCTGTAGGAACTCATCTACCTCCACTGTAGGAGCATGAAGGCCACAGTCCTCAAACGGCCTCAGAGCAACATATGACGATGTCACGCAATCTGAGAAATGTGTGTGTAGGTGAGTGTGTGGATACACAACAGAAGACAAGTATACAATAAGCCGTTTAAGTGCCAAGTACATAAAACTGAACATTTACGAGTAAAACGATATTTTTGGCTTCATTTCAGCTCTAAATGTGAGGATGTTTGCAGTTTTAGAAGAACGTACTGGGGCATTCCATGGGAACGCAGTCCACATTTATTTCAAGGTTTCCAGGGATGGTCTGGAGTTTACTGGCCTTCTCTGCCCTGTAAACAATGCTTCATTTTACTGAGGTTATTCATTATAACATGTTATTCGTGAGTGTGACTAAAAAGTCTGTACCTCCTGTACTCTGTGATGAGTTTGATGAGATCTTCTGTGGAAATCTTATTGCTTTCCTGTTTGAAGAGAGGAGAGAAGCGGCAATCCCTGTCCACTGTGCCCTGGTTGTCCTTAAATACTGACCTGGAAAATACAAAAGGAAGAAAGGTCACGACTGAAATGATTTTAAACCAAATACACTGTTAAAAGTGTAAGAGCTGGTTCGCATGTGAAGTGTTTCAGCAGTTTTTATTTGTTCTGCCAATGCTGAAGCAGCAGGAAATGGAAAAGAAGCTCCCATTGGGATTCACTTACCTGACAGACCAGGCAAAAGGCATTCGGTACTTTCCAAGTTTGCTACAGAATTGCTTGTTGGATTTCAACATTTTTTGGACAGTCTAGAACAAGCAGAGAAATTGGATTTCAATGTATTTGCCCATTAACTACAATGCCCAAACTACAACTTACAAATATATTCGTGCTTAAATCAATATTCTGTAAAATTAGACGACACATATGCAAATGTCTAAATGTCATTACATTCGTGAAAACCAATATGCATTTATCAGACGCTTTTATTCAAAGCACCTTACAATAGAAAAATATCTAAATGAAATACCTTGCTGGAATCTGTGTTTTTAATGTAGGGCTCTGTACCACTGGAAATATTCCCCATCAAAACTTTCTCCACCCGTGCCACCATCACAATGTCTGTGTGTGGGTTCGTCACGGAAAAAATCGCCTGCAGGAATGATCAAACATGTAAGCCACATAAACACATGAACATAGATCTAAACCATGTGATTCCTGGTTTCACAGGCAAGGCTTAACCCTAGTCCCAGATTAAAGTGCTCAAATGTTCGAGCCGTTTTAACCGAAAGCAACTTGCACATATCTTATGACATAAAATATATCAGTGCAATTGTTTTGTCTCAAGATTTTAAAGGAGTAGTTACTTTTAAGAAAACTTTTGCTGATAATTTACTCACCCCCATGTCATCCAAGATGTCCATGTATTTCTTTCTTCAGTCAAAAAGAAATGAAGATTTTTGATGAAAACATTCCAGGATTTTCTCCATATGATGGACTTCAATGGGAACCAAACAGTTCAAGGTCCAAGTGAGAGTTTCAGTGCAAACTGTTCAAAGGGCTTTAAACGATTCCAGACGATGAATAAGGGTCTTATCAAGCGAAACGATCGCTCGTTTAAAAAAAACATCAAAGTTTAAGTTTTATAAGCTCAGATGCTCGCCTTGCTCTGTTCTGATGCGTGTTCGTGACTCTCCTGTTCGAACTTGTTTATCAAAATGAATGAATCTTTTTTTTGTGTCATTTGGTTCCACGAGTTGACTCGGGAAAAGTTTGAATAGGAGAGTCACAAATGTGCATCACAGAAAAGAGCAAGGTGACCATTTGAGCTTATAAAACTTAAACTTTGTCCGATCGTTTCGCTAGATAAGACGCTCATTCATCGTCTGGAATCGTTTAAAGCCCTTTGAACAGTTTGCACTGAAACTGTCTTTTGGACCTTGAACCGTTTGGTTCCCATTGAAGTCCATTATATGTTTTCATCAAAAACCTTCATTTCTTTTCGACTGAAGAAAGAAAGACGTGGACATCTTGGATGACATGGGGGTAGGGTTGGGTATCGTTTGAATTTGAACGATTCTGATTCCGATTCCGATTCCTTGTTTCGATTCCGGTTCCTAACGATTCTCGATTTCGATTCTTTTAAGAGGCAGGGTCAAAAAAGTTTAGCTAACCTTGCTAACCAACGGCCTTTCTAAAGAAAATACTCCTTCTATTAATTAATTATTAATTATTAATTATTAAATACTTGTCACAAATTTTGCATTTTGCCGAGCTTTCGTTAATTTTTAGAAAAGTGAAGCCACACTTTGGACCGCGCGGTTATGCCAACACTTCCGGTAGACGCTTCTTCGTTGGTGTTGTTCAGCGGTTTCTTCTTCCGCTCGGCGGACTGTGAATATCGAAACTAAGAATTGAAATTTGAACTTTTGAACGATTCCGGGAAAAACGAAAAGTTAGTCTCGGTTCCAATCGATACTCGATTCTCGATACCCAACCGTACATGGGGGTGAGTAAATTATCAGCAAAAGTTTTATTAAAAGTGAACTGCCCTTTTAATGGTTTTTTTTTTCTAAAGTAGTAAATGAAAAGCTACTTAATTACCCTAAACTGAACTAAGGCTTAATCAAGGCTTAATCTAAATCCTGACTGTGAAACCAGGCCATTCATTCCTATATCCAAAGGGCACTTGTTTTGATACCTGTTTAGGGAAGCGCAGCCAGTTCTCCAAGTCTGGGCTCAATTGGCAGTCCTCTGTTTTCTTCTCTACAGACGAGTTGAGGCCATTTTCCTGTGGATCCAACCCTTGATCTCCTGGATTACCAGAACTACTGAGCATTTGCCGCACAACCTCGTGGTTTAAGTCCACATGGAAGTCAGCGGAAACCTTCCTGCCCTCGCGGATGTCCAGAAGAGAAACCGACACAAAGAAAGGCTCGATCTGAGGAGAGAGATCAAATATCTTATTCTTTTGTATTTAGTACTGCCCTGCAGAAACAACATATTTATACATTCCCTTGATTTCAATATAGAGATCACTCAACAATGTCTATATATTTTGAGATTTAAAACATTTGCAGTGTACTAAATTATGTTTTTTGAATGGTAAAGATCTTTGCCAACAAATGCATTCAGCTATATAGTTGTTGTTGCAGTGTGTGTTTTTAGCACAACTCATGGTAGGTGTGATATGACATCATACATTAGTAACCGGCTCAGTGTCGGCCTCGTTCACGCAGCCCTGCAGTGTGAGGTTGAGTGAGCCACAGGAGATCATCAGTCTCCTCCCAAGCTTCTCATCAAATGGCTGGACGGAATCTCCATTCTCCATCCTGACACTCCGCAAAACCTTTAACACAAAGCATTCTTTCCTCACTACACCTGTAATGACATTCCCTGTGACATTCACAACCCCCAAACAATGTAAATATTCACGAAACAAAAAGACAAACTGCATAAATATAAGAATTATGACATACAGGGATATCAGGGTCCAGGGAGAACAGGTTTAGTCTTTCCTGTCCTCTGGCAGATCTCGAGCCCTCCTCGGTCTCAGAAATATACTGAAGGAATACAACATTAGTGTTAATTATGTTTAATGCACTTTCATCATTTATTTCTTGTTTAGGTCTTTAAATGTGTTTTAAGGTTCTAAACCGTGAAAGAGAGACTCGCTCATTAAAGGGATCATGAACTGCATTTTTTAAATGTTACGTTTCCTAAGGTGCATTTATTAACTTTTTACAGTTGGTTTTTTACCTTAAAATCTGAGATGATTAAAAATATAAAAGGCCATTTTATAATAATCATTCTGAGTCTGATCTGAATGTAGCTTTTTGCTCAAAATGTTGCCTTTTATCAAACTTACCCACATTCAAGTGTTGATAACAAACGAAAGCATCAAGCTAGTATAGAATGGGGCTCTGTTCTTTCTTTTGATATATTGCATGTTCAGATATTCATACAAAACAATATTCTGGGGGCCATGAAAGTTTTGTGAAAATTATCAAAAATGCTGGTGGTGGCTGGCTGGCAGAAAAAAAAAATTGCAGACGGGGAAAGAGTTAAACACTTTTAAGTAGGGTTGGGTATCGTTTGAATTTGAACGATTCTGATTCCGATTCCGATTCCTTGTTTCGATTCCGGTTCCTAACGATTCTCAATTCCGATTCTTTTAAGAGGCAGGGTCAAAAAAGTTTAGCTAACCTTGCTAACCAACGGTCTTTCTGAAGGAAATACTCCTTTTGTCACAAATTTTGCATTTCGCCGATATTTCGTTATTTTTAGAAAAGTGAAGCCACACTTTGGACCGCCGACGTAAGCTACTCATGTTCGACTCGGGCGGTTATGCCAACACTTCCGGTAGACGCTTCTTCGTTGGTGTTGTTCAGCGGGTTCTTCTTCCGCTCGGCGGACTGTGAATATCGTAACTAGGAATCGAAATTTGAACTTTTGAACGATTCCGGGAAAAACTAAAAGTTAGTCCCGATTCCAATCGATACTCGATTCTCGATACCCAACCCTACTTTTAAGACAGTTTTACTATTACAGCTGTCAAGATAAAGTACTGATTATTCAATTATATTTGCTTAAAGCTTGCAGCACTGAGCATCGTAGCCGATACAGTCATGTCTGTTCTTTAGCTGGTCCCTGGCGCACACATACGCAATGATCTCACTGCTGCAACTTTTTTCTGAATTTTGCATTCTCACACTTCCATCATAGCAACATGCAAACAAAATGTAAATACAGTAAAAGATTCATTGCGTAGTGCACAGTGTCGCTGATTATAACGGGAGTTTTGAAAACTGAACTGAAAGCTATTATACAGAGAACGCTCGCTTTCTGTATTTCATTTAATCGCAGTTTAAATAAGAGGAAGAGTGTCAATTGGAACAGTTTAGTTACTGGCATGATTAGCTTATTGCATAATCAGCAATAAAAGACGATGATGTACATGTAGGTGCTGATCTGTGTCTTATGCTGATGGATTCATGTAATAAAAACATACCAGGATGTAGAAAAGAAAAAAAAGTCGTTGGTTTCAATAAAAGCTATTTTTGTACTAACAGGGAAGTTTGGCGTTCTGAAACTCGCAACATGTTTTATTATTACAATGATCTCATTGCATAAATGAAGGCTCATTTCCTTTATCAGAAAGAGGGTGCAACGCGCCTAGGAAGTAACATGACTTACCTTGGCCAGTTCAGGGTGGATTCCATTTTCAGTCGTTTCCTCATTTTCATGGACATGAACATGATTCAACGACATATCAATGATCTCTAAAACAACAACAACAAAGAAACGTTTCAGCTGAAAATGTGCACGGTGGTGGATTTCGGTCACTTTTGACTCGAGGTGCGTGTCAGACGTTCCCTCGGGGTACCAGCTAAAGCATTTAACCATAACAGTATGATAAATATCCAAAATGTAATGTAATGTAAATTAGAGGGAGTGTGTCAGCTGAATCTGAAGGATTTGTGAGGTATCAGATCACACAGTAACCACAATTAAAGGAATAATTCTGTCATCATTCACTCGCCCTCAAGTTGTTTCAAACCTGAATGAGTTTCTCCTGCTGAACACAAAGGAAGATATTTTGAAGAATGTGGGTAACCAGACAGTTGATCAACCCACATTCTTCAAAATACATTCCTTTGTGCTCAGAACAGAACAAATACATTCATCCAGGTTTGATATTACATACACATCATATTACATCATATTTCTCACATATAAACATTAGTAGTCACTCTATGTCTACCAATAAAATGTCTTAGTAAGTAGTTTTATGATTGAAGTCCTGTAGTTTTTATTGTGGGGGCAAAACATATAATGCAAAGAGATGTGCAAATAAATGATCCTCAAAAGCCTGATGTCTGTTACTCACACTTTAACCAGATTTTTTTTTTTTTTTAAATGATGTATGAATAATCAAGTAAACCTAAATAACTTAAGCCCAGTAAGTATTCATCTTAAAATATTACTAACCATATAAAAGTTCTCATGGTTACTTTATAAAAATCAAGAAAAATTTCACAGCAAAAAGAGGAGTAAACACCACCCTGAAGGAGAACGTTTATAAGAGGTGTTTTACACCCTAACTCAGATAAATTGTGTGATAAGCATTTTTATAATGGCCTTTGTTTCCATGAAGTATGAGATATGCAGGACCTCAAAAAGTTTCAAATGACCACTCGCTACTTTTCTCTAAGTCATTTCTCAAGTGTTGTGAATGCTGGCTCTTACTTATTTGGTTCTGAATGAATGAATGAATGAATGTGTTTTCGTCAAGGCTTTTATTAGAGCCCAACCGATAAAGGATTTTGAAGGCCGATACCGATACAAATATTGTTGGGTTTTAAAATCCGATATATCGGCCGATTTTTTTTTTAAATGAAATATTGTTGGATTTCACACAGGTGTAAAAGAAAAGCTAACTTTTCTGCACAAGATAAGATACTTTTTCTCTATGTCTAAATGTTCACTCCTCGCAAGTATAACTTACATTTTACAATGTAGGGACTGTAACTAGAGATATGCGAGTTATAAATACAGTAATCGTTACTTTATTTAGGCAGAAATTATTTAGCTCATTAATGTTAAGTTAGCGTTAGCGGTCTTCCACTGATGATAGTGGCATTAGCCAGCTTTGTGGTTAGCTAGTCTATGATGAGCCATAATTTAGCAATAGATAACATCATACTGCAAGTTGTAAAACATACATTTTCAATATAACAGGCCAAGGAGAGATGATTGAAGCGTGTTTCGTCCATTTTATTTTATTTTTTAAATATTCATTTATCGGCCATTATAACTGCCGATACCGATATTATGGAAAATGTCCAATCGGTCTGGCTCTAGTTTTTATGATCTGAATTGATTATTTTTTTATTTAATAAAACAATCTTTTATGTTTTCATAGATTGTGCTGTATCGTATCAATGCAAGGCCATCACAAAAGATTTTTTTTCTAATATTTTCCTAAATCTTCTCTTGGGATGTTTTCAATACAATAGATTCTAACATCAGTATATTGTCCTGTCACTGCCATGATTGGAACAGCACCAAAGCTCTTACTGTTGCACTTGTGTATATGAGGACAATAGAGCGATTTTATTGGCTCTTTCTATACTTTCGAAAGAGCTTTATATGCTTTCCGAGAACCCACCGTGCTTACTGTCGCTCAGGTCCATACTCTTACGGTCCAGAACCGGGCCCTCAGGAGGACTGATCTGCAGGATGCGTGTTAAAGTGTTGATCCAGTCATCCATGTCCTGCTCGTTCTCGGCAGCCAGGACGAAATACGTCACTTCATTCATTTTCAACTCGAAGGCGTGTTTCCTCAGGCGGTTATTCTGTATGAACCCCAAATAGAGCCGTAAATCATATTCAAAATTAGTCATTAGTCACTAAACTGCTTAATTAACCCTTGTGCTGCATTAGGACCAAAAATGGCCACATATTAAACATTGCCTAAAATATTATATATTATTATTATTTTCCACTTTTACCAAGTTAAATCTTTTAACCAGCATCAGTCCTCATCATAACTACCAAAAATGTATTCAATCTCAGGATTTTAACCCTTTAATTACCAGTTTTGTTTGCGAAACCATCGATTTGTATAAGAGGAAAAAACACAAAAATGCAATTATTTTCAATAAACTAAATGCAAAGAGAAAACTTTAGATTTGGATTATCACAGTCCCACTTTGCAAAAAATCCCACTTAGCGCGTTAGAGACCAAAAATGGCCACCTATTAAACATTGCCTATTGCCTAAAATAAGGTGCATTTCCACCCATAGGGAATAAATATGTAGTGACGTCATCTGGTGGAATACACTATATAATGCAAAATATAATGCTTTTGCTTCAAAATGAAAGGATGTTTGTGCAAAAATCATGTTTCATGTATTACTGACAGCCTCAGATTTAAACAACGTTTTAATGGGTTTCAATGGGCCATTTTTGGTCTTTATGGTGCTGAGTGTTACTATTTGATCTACACAGTGTCAGTGTGTGTTATACATATTTTGCAAAATGGGATCACATTTTTTACATGTATCCAAAAAGTCACAATTTTGCCAAATTTCATACCATTTGCATTAAAACAGCCAAAATGGTCAAAGAAATTAAACTGCAAAAGACCAAAAATGTCCCTAATGCAGCATAAGGGTTAAACTGTATTTGTACCAACCTGAACCACCCCGGTGCACGAGTCCAGAAAAATACAGCCTTTAGGTTCCTTTGATATTTTCTCATCTTTATAGAAGTTCATGATATAAGAGTTGTCAGTTAGCTGAGTCAACTGGAAATACCTTCGCTTGAAGGACTGTAAAAGCACAAACAACAAGCAAGTAGCAGGCAATCAGCAATGTTTTACACACAAACGGTTTTAGTGATAATACAGAATTTGCAACGAAGAAACACTCTCTTACCCGGACAGTAATACTGTTGTTGACAGTGCTGTTAAAGTTCCCTTTATAGAGCCAGCCAGACTTAAAAACGCCGATCCCCCCTACACCTCCACCACCTGCACCACCTCCTCCTCCTTTAGATGATGACAAAGAGGTTGTGTCCTACAAAAAAGTGGTTAAACATCTGATGACAAGAATCAGGAATCATCAGGAAACTGCTCCTTTCGTTTGAAACATACACACAACCTCCGTAGGCATCGTCTCAAAGGCACATGGTGTCTCTAATCACTGATAAGCAGAAGACACACAACTTTACAAGTCGTACCAACCCAATGACCCCACCGCCTCACTTCGTATCTCTTCCTGTATACATCTGCAATTGTTGAACTAATCTCAGCTGAGATTATTCCCAATAAACACGTAGTGAAACGACATGTTCTTTACTGCTATTTGCCTGGACATGCAGACATTTGATTTGGATTGAGATCTCGTGTCTATGGAGGCCATTTGAGTAGGGATCTGGAGTCTGGACTGAAACCGAAAATTCTGGATGCACTTGTCCAAAAAGCGAAATTAAAACGTGAGCTTTTTTAAATAGAATTGTATTATTATTATTATTACACTTTTTAATTTAATTCAATAATGTTAATGATGTTGAATTTACAAAATACAAATACATTTCAATTGATTTTTCTGTCCAATTTTTAACACACTAAAATTGGACAGAAAATATATTCATATCAAATATCAATTTGAAGTATACCAGGACTTAAAGGGATAGTACACTAGTTCACTTTCAAATCATTCACTTATGATATGTTTTATCTTACCTCAAGGGCATCCAAGATGTAGGTGTCTTTGTTTCCGCAGTAGCTTCAATTTTGATATTTTTAGGTCAAACCGTTCTTGTCTGTCAGTCATATAATGGAGGTATATGGGGTCCACCTCAAAGATTTAATCACATCGATGGCCTAAGACACGAAACGAGTGGTTTGTGTGACAAAACGAACAGTATTTATATCGTTTTTACCTCTTGTAATCACAGCCACGTCCAAGTGATCTGAGGGCGGGGGGCGCTTCAGTCTCCGCAAGCGCCGGAAGTGATCTCTGGCGCGGTTGCGAAAAAAATAAATAAAAAATCAACGTTGTCTGTTGATATATCGAAATCGTCTTCCATTGCGATTTCCTGTATATCTAAATATGTTTAGATCTTCACGGTGAAGGGACTTCTCTGTGCATGCTTTTTGAGGTGGTGACCATAGACCTGCATTATATGACTGACAGACAAGAACGGTTTGACCTAAAAATATCAAATTGAAAATACTGTGGAAACAACGACACCTACTGTACATCTTGGATGCCCTTGAGGTAAGCTAAAACATATCAAAAATTAATTTCAAAGTGAACTATCCCTTTAAGATAATGAGAGCTCATTCAAGTGTGTCCAAACACATTACTGGTATGAGTTTGGTAAGGCCTTCTTGATACTGACCTCATCTTTGTCCACATCTTCATGGTCAATCTCAAAAGAGTGGGAGGGCAACTTCTCTGCTTTATACAGCTTCCTGTGGCAGAGAGGGGTTATGGAGAGAGAGAGAGAGCAAAACCACCGTCATCCACCATGATCAAGATAAGGAGGAAAGAGACGGTCCACTAGCAGTGTCGTTTTGGATTTATGGTGCTGCTGGCTGATTATGTTTAATTATCAATGATCATTTATATATTATTAACAGCAAATACAACAGTTGATTTTATATATATATATATATATATATATGAAGAGTTCAGATGCAAAAACCTCTAAATGCCATTTGAAATTTTCTTCTTTAATGATGATTTTTATCAAACTTGTATATTTAAGTTCAGTAATTTCACTTAAATAACAATTAATAGGTAATTATCATTGCCATTTAAGTGAAATCACTGAACTTAAATATACAAGCTTGATAAAAATGATCATTCTAGAAGAAAATTTCAAATGGCACTTAGAGGCTTTTGCATCTGAACTCTTCATATGTACAGTATATATATAGTTATACCTTCTGATGTTGAGTTTTCATGTTTTATAGGAACTTTCCATAGACATAATGATTTTTATACTGTAAAAAACGGTACATTATATCCCCTAACTCTAAACCTAACCATCACAGAAAAAACAAAACAAAACATCACTTTATAAAATGTTTTCCTCATGGGGACTAAAGAATGTCCCCACAACCTGAACCACACTCTCACACTCACACAACCATGAAGCATTAGTTCACCAATAAATCCCCCTCTCCTCAAAGAGGTAGTATTTTCCACATCAAGTGGAAAGTAAGCTTTCAGTAAGCTTTATTCTGCCAGGACCCCACATACAGGTGTCCTTTCTGCTGCCTGTCTGAGTGCTCTTGTAAACCTTTGTGTCTGTCCTGGGTGGTGGAGACAGTGTGGCGCTTTATGCAGCGCAAACACACACATTTTTCTTTAGACCTACATCACCGTCTGGCAGAAACTTTGGCACTGCATGTCGCCAGTTTCTCGCTCCTAGTGTTGTTACTCTAATGTTATTGGTAGAAAATTCAATCACAGTTCAATCAAATGACTGATTTTGTGGTGGTAATTTCCAAAAATTTGTGAAAAAATTTGCGATTTATATTTAACATTTACCATAATAGTATTCAGTTCTTCCAGAAAAACGCTGAGTTTTTTTTTTTTTTGTGATTGTTGCGGGCAAAAATTGATTGATTATGCGGCCCGTTTTCTTTAAAATGCGATGGAATATGCGGGATATTTATGCAATTTTATGCGATGAAATTGCAGGAACTTGCAAAAATTGCGGTTTGATGAAAAAGAGAAAAAAAAAGTAATTCCCCCAACATCCTGTTAATGTCAGAGTCATTTCTTATTACTTCCTTTGATAAACAAGCATACTACATCATAGAAAGTACTGGGAATATTTAATTTCTCATCTTGTTTTATTTCAGACTGTAACGAGTGTAAATAAGGTGTGGCCCCTTTAAGAGCTGCGCGCTCCCTGTTGAACTGTCGAACACCCCATGTGTGCGGGTAATTTCTGTTTGATGCTACTTCTTTTATCTTATGTTGTTTATTAAGTAACGACGTGACGGTAGAACGTGTGACAGACAGTTATACGAGTTCGATTTGTGAGATGTCAATCGCCTCCGTGAGTCTGTCTGGCGTCGCGTAATTGCGTCACTTCATAACGTTCCCATGGAAACAGGGGGAAATGGCTGCTCTTATGTGAAGCAAACGCAACATTTTTCAACTTTCTGATAAGATACATGTGACTTTTTTGCAACGAAAATGCGAGGATTATGAAATTATGCAAACCCCGCATATTTTGCACGGAAATCGGCAATTTATGCGGCGAAAGTGCGGCGTATTTGAAATAAATATGCGGACTTTGGCTGATTTTGCATTGAATTCGCGTTTTTCTGGAGGGACTGCAGAGTTGATAAGACTGCAGTCACTTTCTTTTCCACACATCATTAATTTATTATATCCATATGTGGTTCCGGATAAATCATAAGACAGTGCAATCGCTCCAGAAATCCTGTCCTGTGTTGCCTGCACTCAAGACGGTGATATGAGCTCCACTGACACAGTCTGCACTCCTATAAGTGCTCCTATTTCTACTAAACGAAGCAGAGAGGAGAGGGAACTTTGAAACTGACTTCAGCGAGGAGCACGTTCTTTTAAAACTGAGGTGACTGTGATGAGCAGGAACTGAAACTAAAAAAAAAAACTGTGCCTGAAACTAACCCGTTCCTGTTTGTGAGGCTTGGATTACAGGAGTATATGTGGAAAACAGAAGGAAACCATTCACTTAAAGTGGAAACTAATTTTTTAATTATTATGGCTATTATAATTATTCTGAAATACAATTTCTTACTCTGCTGTGGTAAAAATACGGTTCTATAATTTCAAGACAAATGGTTTGATGGCAAGAAAACGATGCTGTTCGAAGGTTTGGTGGAGCAGTAATCGAGCTATACCTGGGCAGCATGCGGTAGTCCCCTGCATACTCTTCATATTTATACTGGACCACATGCAGCTGGGAGTTGAAGAATTGACAAGCCTATAAGAAAAAACATACAGAGGTTCCTACTGTAAGAGCAAGCATTCACTCGGTCATTCAGTTATATTTTTTGCCTCCAATTCAAAAAGCCCTACAGAGCCCTGTTAAATGTGTAATGTTCTGAGTTAAGTGAACGAAAGCTTTAGTTAAATGTAAATGTAAAAAAGAAAAAAAAAATCAATGGCAAATCTCAAACATGCATGAATGCTTTGGTTGCATGCACATTCATGCATTCACTAGTCACAATTTTTGTTCTTCTAAAGATAAATGTAAGTCTGATGGGTTTCAAACAACCTACAGTAAGGTTGAGACAATACATTTTTATTTCCCTTTCGAATGAATGGGAACTCGCACCGCTTCCCAGGACGCAATGGGGAATGCCTCCAACGTGAGACCAGTGTCTGAAGCCTGGTGACAGCCTGTGACGTCACTAATGGTGCAACTAGTGTATAAAAGGCAGTCTGTAGTACAAGTGATTCTCTTCAGGAGCGTTTGTTTGGGACATGTCGAAGGCAGTTATGGAAGTGTGTCCATACCTGTCAGCATTATCTGACACCAGATGATTTACACGATCTGTGCTTTATGTGCTAGGGCAAGGAGTATGCGTATGATGAGCTGCTAGAGGTTATGTCCTACGTCACAGATCTGCCCTGGAGGCCAGCGTGAGAGATGTGAGATTGCCTGTGGCAGGTTGGACAAGCGATTTTTATCCGGACATAAATTTATGTGATTTTTTTTCCAGTTCTCACAAGCCTTCTGTTTCTTCCAGATCTGCATGCTGAGGTGGAAAGATCTCGGAAGGAACCATATTCGGCCCACATTCATCTATTTCAGCATGCAGATTATGCAAGGGTAGAGGGAATGTTTGAGCATGGAGATGACTCGATGCCATAAGTTAACTTTATGTAGCCAGCAATTTCTCGTTAGGGTGGCATCGATGTTGAAGCAAACCAAACCACTACATATGACATCACGTTTGAAAGGCAGAGTGAATGTGGCAGAATTCATTCATTCATTCATATAGCACAAATAAACATAACTATAGTTGACCATGTGCTGTACAGGACAAATCTATAATATATAAAAAAGAGAGACACACAATAGAAACAGAACATAGTTAAAATGAGTTAAATGCCGAGGTAAAAAGATATGACTTTACGTTAACTTTATGTACAGAGGATAAAGATCTCAGGGATAGGGGGGATTATAGCCTAGGTCCAATGACTGCAAACACACGATTATGGGCCGTCAAGAGCCAGTCCCTTAGGCAGTCTATGTAGGACTGATCCAGCTCTCAGATTCAATCAAAAATATCTTTATTTGTGTTCCGAAGATGAACGAAGGTCTTACGGGGTTGGTACAGCATGGGGGTGAGTAATTATTGACTTAATTTTCATTTTTGGGTGAACTAACCCTTTAAGCTTTTGGAATGCAGGGAAATGGTCAGGTACATCCATTGGATGCACCACTGTCTTTGCATATCCTCGTACCTACTACCAGGTGGGAGTTGCCTAGATTTTTGGGGATGTTTGCTTACTATCTGCGTTTCTGCATAAACGTCTCTAGTTTTAGTTGGACTATTGAGCATCAACAGGAATTTCTGTCTGCAAAATCTCTCGTCTGTAATGTGCCCGTCCTGTCTGGGGCTTGAGGTGGATACCAGTGCGATTGGAGTTGGAGATGTCCTGCTCCAGGAGGGTGCAGAACAGAAAACAACAGTCTGCATCTGTATTTGTGAACTCATCTTTTATTTGGGATCACAACTAAAGCCACACACACATGGATGCATGCACGCTTACCTGTCTGACCAGCAGACATTCAGCATGTTCGTCAGCTCCCTCTGGCACGGTGGACTTCACGGTTCTCCTCTCTACAGGAACAGTGGACACCTAGAATAAAACAGATAGAGATCATTTGAAATCATCAACAAAATCAAATTAATAAGAATGGGTTTATGGGAGTCATGAGGACTCTTCTCAAATCTTGACAAAAAAAGATACAGATTGTACTGAAAGACAGCTTGCTTATTTTGCTCAAGATAAGGATATATTATGTCCACATTTCATGCAAATAAGACTTCTAACCACAGGTCGAGAGCTTTGTGAAGCTGCTTGCGAATGTACAGTAGAACAGTTTGAGGAAACGCGACTTTGAAACATTTGACCATACTTGTCTAACAATGCTTTTGGGAAACACACCCCTGATTGGTTGTGGTGGCTAGAAATGATCCGGCTGGGAGTATAATATCTTTCTATATACCAGACCCTTGTTGATAGACAGAGCATTGATCTAATTTTAGGAAGTGATGTTGTTAAACATATCATTCATGACCTGATTTTAAAGGGGGTGGTACGCTTTACTCTTCCTCGTGGCATCCAAGATGTTTATGTCTTTCTTTCTTTTCAGTTGTTTAGGTTTTTGAGGAAAACATTCCTGGATTTTTCTCCATATAATGTACTTCAACGGGGTCCAACGGTTTGAAGGTCCAAATTGTGTAGCTTCAAAGTCTCTACACGATCAGCCAAGGAATAAGGGTTTTATCTAGCCATACCATCGGTCGTTTTCTAAAAAAAACAAAAAAACATTTACATTCCTTTTAACCACTAATGTTCGTCTTGCACTACCTCAGTAATGCCGCACAAATTATGTAATTAACACCCAGTACCGGGACGCCTAACTTCACTTCACTATATTTCTATTAAATCCTAATCTAATTATGACAAATTATATGTTGTTGGAAAGGTCTAAGACTTCTAAATAGATATTCTACCCCTGTTTTGTGTTAAAAATTATGTAGGAAGAGTAATTAATGAATTTATGACAAGAGTGCACCTCAAAAAATCTGCATCATAACAGGAGTTTTGACCTTTTTCACAAAAAGTCGATGAACCCACTTTTAATCATTGAAACTTCTGTTTTTATGCTAAAAGTTCATAATAAATATATAATCTAGTATTTTTCAATAAAAAAAAATTATTAGTACAATATTATCCTCTAAAAATGATAATATTTATATTTATTATCCTCTAAAATATAATATTATTTTGTATCGCCTTTTTTATTATATCACATATTTTAGTAGTTATCATAAATTAGGTATCATTTGAAAGCTTATAAACTCATAATTCATCGTGTGAAAACCATTTTATAATTGAAAGTTTCATTACCATAGAAACGGTACTTATTTTATCAGGCTCCTCCCCTTTTGGGCATCATTATATTTCATAATTTATGATCAAAACCTTTTCTAATCTTGACAAAACTGATATTGTCAGAAAGGTCAGAGTCTCAAGGTGACAGAATTGATATTTGGACAGAAATGTATTAATTTGTTAAGGCAGAATGTATACAATTAAATTCAATGGAATTCAATGGCACCCGGTGGCTATTTTTGGTACTACGCCTAAACAAAATCTCATGGGAACTTCAATTTTTGTGATATCATCTTCACATTTGGAACATAACTTGATAAGATGTATGGCTTTGATTTTATAGAAATTTTAGAGTAAAAAATATTTTATAAAATATATATTTTATATAAAATAAAAAATATATAGTACAGTATATTTAATTTACTGTAAATTTAAACTTCCATAACTTTTTCATACTTTCATTTTTTGAAGTGTTTTCACTTCAGCAATATCCTGCTGAGTGTTTTCTTTAAAACAAGACCAAACTTGGATATGTATTCCAAAGCATTCTTAAATTACAACCATTTAAGTTTGAATAGTGCATTTTAACCCCCATTCTCAAAAAGGGGGGTGACAGCTAAGGGGTTAAGTTGAAAGGTCACACTTGACATAGGTGGAAGTACCGACCAAGTGTTTATAAAGCGATTGTGCAAGGACTTACGAAAATAAATAAATAAATAAAAAGATAAAACAACGATGTCAGACAATTTTGAATTTGAAGAAGAAAATTAGATGTTTTTCACCCTACCCTACATTTTTTTAAACATGAAACACGTGACCTTTCAACATGATTACGTAACGAGCTAGTGCATGCCGAGCATTTGAGGTTAAAAAGTATATATACTGTATATATAATTTTTTTATTTATTCATTTCTGAAAATGACAGATGGTTTGCTAGATAACACTCTTATTCCTCGGCTGGGATTGTGTAGACACTTTGAAGCTGCACTGAAACCGACATTTGGACCTTCAACCCGTTGGACCCCATTGAAGTCCACTTGAGAAAAATTCAGAAATGTTTTACGCAAAAACCTTAATATATTTTTGACTGAAGAAAGAAAGAAAGAAAGAAAGAAAGAAAGAAAGAAAGAAAGAAAGACATAAACATCTTGAATGACATGGGGTTGAGTAAATTATCAGGAAATCTTTATTCTGAAGTGAACTAATGTTTGTTTTTTTTCCCCTTTTTTTTATTAGTTTTTTTTTCAGAGTAAACAGCATACATGGAGCATTGGCATTAATCATTTTCAAAAAAACAAAAAAAACACAAAAAAAACAAGGGCAGCGTAGTCAAATACCGAGTTACAATATCCTCATATAAGCATTTAAGGATACATGATAGACTTATATTCAATGCCAATACAGTTCAACGTCGTTTTCCACAACTTCTGAAATGATTCAGATTTACCTTTTATCATACATCCAATCTTCTCCACAAGTATAGTCTCTTTAATCAGGATTATCCAGTCCTTTATAAGGGGTGGGTCAGTGCCAACCCATTTATTCATAATTGATTTCCACCCCAACATTAGTAAGGTTCTAAAGACATCCGCATATTCCAGAAATGAGGGGGGGCAATATACCCAGCAAGCACATGAGTGGGGAGGCAGTAACCTTCTGTTTACATATTATCGATAATTTATCACAAATATCATTCCAAAATTTAACAACCAATGAGCATTCCCAGAGAGAGTGAAAGAATGTTCCAATATTGTTGTTGCATTTAGGACATTGGGGAGATACAGTTTTATTTATTTTGCTATATTTATTTTGAGATATGTAGGCTCTATGTACACTCTAAAAAATGCTGGGTTGTTTTAACCCAATTTTGGGTCAAATATGGACAAACCCGAAATGTTGGGTTAAAAATGTAATGTAAAAAATTAACCCAATGGCTGGGTTAGTCCATATTTGACCCAAAGTTGGGTTAAAACAACCCAGCATTTTTTAGAGTGTACTATATTAAATTGCATCTCTTTAAATCTGTTGCAGACAGAGACATTTAATGGCAACTTAACAATATCTTCCCAGACATTTTTGTCAATGTTAAATTTCAGGCTCTTACTCCAAGCCCTCTGCAACAAAATCAGGTTGTCTGTTTTGTGATGGCTTATCATACAGTAAAATTTGGATATGAAGTGTTTAAGTGCTTCAGTATCCCTAAGAAAAAATCTATCCAAAAAGAAATCAGAGCTATTCAGGGTAAGACTGGTATGCCTGGTCTGGACAAAATGTCTTATCTGTAAGTCCTTTTTTGAACTAATCTTATAAGCTGTGCATTATAGTGCATCTGGCAGTTTAACACTATTTTGATGGTCTGTTTTTAGACTTTCTTCTAACTATAAGTCATTTTGCTTGTCAACTTGAAAGACTGAAAGACATTCAGCATTGCGGGCTGATCTCATTACAAATCGCCCTGAGCCTCTTGAAACATTTCCTTAAATACTCCAAGACAGAAACCTACACGTGCCAACAATGGGAATTTGCATTACTCATGTACCGCAGCTCAATTCGGCTACGTATACTATGCCCTAAAAGCAATCTCTTTTTGTGAAGAAAAAGTACATACTTTTGAGTTTGGAGCAGAAGAGTAGAAAAGCTTTGGGACAAACCATCACATCATACATTTGCGTCTTTAACGATTGCTCTGTCGCATCCTGTCACTGTAAACTGGCCTTTAAACAGCACAGTAAAAATCCTCCACATTTCATTTCCTACCGTATCGGAGAGAAATGCAGTACCACGTTGATTTGCAGTTGCGGGTCTTTCATAAAGAGACTCTCCTCATATTAATGCATAATGATGCATTTAAAAGTTAACGGCCAAACTTTATTAAAGTCCACATTGTTATTATTACAGATGAAATATAACACTTTTTTTGTCAGGTTAAACTTTGATTAGTCACTCAAACACCTTTATCTAAACCTCTCAACATCGGTCACGCATATCAGTCAGTAAGTCACTGAGTATAATCAGAAATGGTGTGATGTGCAGATGCCAACCTCCATTGGAGAAAGCACATTGATAGACTTAGATCATGTGTGCCTTGATAAGGAATCACATTATAGCCTTGATGTCATTGAATGGCTGTCAGAAGTGTAGACAGTCAATCACTAGGTTTGTTTAAGACGCCAAACACCTTACCCTGAAAGTAGACAACAGTAAATGGCTATAGTCAGGGGAGGAGTTGCACAAAATCAGCTAAACTAGGCCCTTCCTACCTGAACATGCTACACAACTCATCCAGGACCATTTACATTTCTATGCTGGACTATTCCAATGCTCTTCTGGCTGGACTTCCAACATGTACCACAACAAATGGTCTTGAATGGTCTTCATCGAGCCCAGAAACACCTCTGTTTGTCTTCCAGGACTGGCTACTGATGCTTGCCTGAATGGCTTCATATTCTAAGCTTTCACTTTTTCTTGCATCCCTCTTTGTTCTAGCTTGCACTATTCTGGAGAACTTTGTCGAACTTCTCATGTTAAAATGAATCGCTCATTGTCTCCCCCTTTTTTAGTTCCCCATTTGTTAGATTTATTATCTATTAACCTTTATTTAACCAGGTAAGTCAATTAAAGGAGTAGTTCACTTTAAAAAAAAAACAACTTTTGCACCCCCATGTCATCCAAGATGTCCACGTCTTTCTTTCTTCAGTCGAAAAGAAATGAAGGTTTTTGATGAAAACATTACAGG